TGCAGATGCTGAACGTGTGCATCGAGAAGAAGAAGCTGCGCGCCAGCCTCGCCGTCGGCAAAGGTTCGGCCGCCGTTTCAGGTACTTTAATAATAATTACCTATTTGTGTGTAATTGCCTCTGTCTGTCTGTCGCGCGGCCTCGGGCGGCACCCGCTGCAATTACCCCCGAGAGTGAGGATGTCGCGCGTTGGCCGGGCCGAGTCTGCGACGTCGGCGACGACGGCGAATCCCGCCGAAGCGCGTTATCGGCACCGAGGCCTTCGCTGCCTTCCGCGTGTCCCCGCGTCCTCGGCCGGCACGCTGGCCGCGCACGCCGACCCTGCAGTGTAGGCACGGGCCGCGACCGTCTCATTCGTACCCGTCAGATGGGCATGGAAGACGGGCGGACGGACGGACGGCGCGCAGCGGTAAGCTACGGTGCCCGACCAGCCCAAGCGCGGCCCGGCTGCCCGCGGCTGTCCCCCACCCTCCCCCCTTTTCTCCGGGAGTCCACTTCGCGCTTCCCCATACGGCTCGCGCCGTGCCGGGGGCCGTGGCCCGCACCTGACGCTCCTCGAGGAGGGCGAGGACGCCGAGGACGTGGCGGTCCGCACGCGGCACGCACGCGGCACGCGCGTGACACGAAGGGCGTCGTGATGCGTGACAGAATGCCGGGTCACTTTCGCGCGGACTTTTCCCCGGCAGTCCGTTTTGGACGGGCACGCGTCGCCGCCCGGGTCATCCGGGTCAGCCCGCGCGGCTCGGCCACCGTGCACACGTGCTTGACCACCACGCCGGACGTCCAACCGTTTCATTTTTATTTTTTTTAATTTCGATGTATTTATGGGTATTTGCAGTGGACTCCGAAGGCGAGGACGACGACCAGTTCTTCGACTGCGACACGTCGGGCCCGTCGGGCGCGGCCGCCGAGGACGCCGAGATGGAGGACGCGCAGGACACGGCCGACGGCAAGCGCTCGCTGTGGGACCAGCCCGAGGGCCGCAAGGCCAAGCACCCCACGCTGCGCCTGCTCAAGACCGGCGAGCCGCTCTACATCCCGCTCACGCAGGTAGGGAAGGTGGCTGCCTGTCCGTTTAAGACGGCTGGCAACCCATCCGGCGCGAAGGCAGCGCCTGCGGTGTAGGCCACCCATTCGACGGGAAGGCAGCCCCCGTGCTGTAGGCAACCCATCCGCCACGAAGCGCGCCCCGGAGCTGTAGGCCTCCCACCCGACGGGTTCTTGCTCTCTCTCGCTCGAGTCCAGGGAGCGCCCGCCGGGTAGGCCACCCTTCGCTCCGCGCACACCGGCGCCGCGCAGTGTTGCCTACCTGCCGGTTCACAGGCGCTCCGCGTCGGGAAACTAACAGTGGCGCGCTCCTGTCGCAGGACCTGGTGCCCAAGTCGGAGGACGAGGTGGAGCACGAGACGGCGGCGGCCCACCTGTCGCAGGCGCACGCCTACTCGTGCACCGTCACGCTGTCGGACATGGAGTCCTTCAAGGCGGCCAACCCCGACGCGGCGCTGGAGGACTTCGTGCGGTGGTACTCGCCGCGCGACTGGGTGGAGCTCCCGGACGCCCCGCTGGACGAGTGGGGGCAGGTGCAGGGCGAGCTGAGCGAGCGCATGCGGCTGGACGACAACATGTGGCAGAACCTGTGGTCCGTGGCGCAGCCCGTGCCCGCCCTGCGGCAGCGACGCCTGTTCGACGAGACGAGGTCCGCGGAGAGCGTGCTGGCGTGGCTGGAGGGGCTGTCCGCGCTCGACCTGGCGCTCGCCCTGCTGCCCGTCACGGCGCACGCCTGCGCCACGCGCGTGCTGCAGGAGGTGCACGCCGACGACCTGCTGCGCCGCCTGCCGGGGCCGCCCGCCGCCGCGGAGACCCTCGCGCGCCACGTCGCCGCCGCCACCAGGGAGCCCCTCCAGACCGCCCCGCTCGGCAACGTGCTGCCCGCCGGCGCCGCCAAGACCGCCGCCAAGACGGCCGCCAAGGAGACCGTCAAGCTGTACGAGGTGCGTGTCCTTGTTTTGATTTACTTTCTTAGATCATGATAACTGTTTTAACACGGCCCGTCCTCGCAGAGGCTGGTGTCCGAAGTCGAGGCCGTGGAGACGCAGGTGTGCACCGCGCGCTCGCTGCGGTCCAAGCTGTGCCCCGGGCTGTTCGAGGCCCAGTCCGAGGCCGAGGCCGCCGTCAGTGACAGCCAGAAGGAGATGGTGGACTTCTTGTCCGCGCTGCTCGAGCTCAAGGAGGTCCTCGTTCCGGGCGGCGCCCGCGGCCGCATCGGCAGCAACGTGCGGGGCATGTTCGCGGAGGCGCAGAAGGTGAGGCCACGACGCCGAGGTGCAGACCTTCGCCTTGTCCGTCTCTGTCTTTACCCCCGCTTGCTCGGCAGATGGCGCAGATGCTCCCCGACGCGGCGACCGGCCGCCCCGAGTGGAGCGCCGCCTCACCGGACTTGCCTGCTTCCGGGCCGTCCGGGGCCTCGGCCTCGACGGCGTCCTTCCCGCCCGCCGACGTCAAGGAGGTCGTGATGCGCGTGGTGACGCCGCGGCCCAGCGCCGCCTCCAAGCCGTGCCCGCAGCGCATCTACGCCATGCACCGCAAGGATGAGTTCAGGCTGGCGGGCTGCTTCGCCAGGGACGCCACCTTCTACTGAGAGCGTCCCCGCGGCCTCGGAGGCCTTGGGGCAGCGACTGTGATGCAACATGGAACTTTTCTGTAATTACTGCCCTACTCTGCATTTTAATCAATATTCTATCAGCATTCCTGAGATCGTCTGGGATGGGTTTCTCCATTTGTATACCTCTTCTTAGTGTCGATTTATTGTGTCTCTATCTCTCTCTGATCTCTGACGAATTTCGTTGCATCCCTGTAGATGCTCGCTCTCAGCATTTTGGTTTCCGAATGGCAACCGTGTTTCAGAGGGAGGAGGGCAGTGATGTCTCCCAATTTAGGGTTCAATACCCATGTGACAATATTATTGAAGTTGTGTAAATGGTTTTTTTTTAAATCTCTCACTCATGTGATGAAAATTAAGGATTGTATGACGTGTTTGTAGTTTAGCGGAAGAATATTTGCGTTATTGTATTGTTACATTTTTTTTATTACGGACTTTTTATCTCTATTCTTCGTGATGCAAGGGGTTTGTGTTTCAACTTATTAGGAAGCAGTGATTTGAGTTCTTAAATTTAATCGGGCGGGTACGGTCTTGCTACAGGTGATCCTCTCGATTAAATTACGTTTCGTTGATCGAAATTTGCTCCTGCTTCTTGCAAACTTGTTATGTCTTACCTGTTTAACTACTTGGACTATTTATTTGTCATAAACTCATTTATTGTGAAATAATAAAAAAAGGAATGTTTTGTTTAAAAATCGATCTTTGGCCTCGAAGTGAAAAGTGGGTGATGTTGGCACCGCCGACCCGCGCGGTGCCTCTCCGCCCACTTCCTCCTGGCGATCTTCACACCGATAGTCGGTCCGGTCGGTCCGGTCCGGGCCAGCAGGCTCGACTCGCTCTGTCTCTGTCGCACTCACGGGGCGTCCCGCAGGGGTGCGAGAGAGACAGAGCGACTCTCCGGCATCGCTGGGCTGTGCCGGGACGGCGGGTCGATCGCATGGCACTATCGCTTCCTGAGCGACAAACCGCAACACCCACTCGAGTCGCACAGTCACACAGTCACACAGTCACACAGTCGGGCAGTCACACAGTCACACAGTCGGGCAGTCACACAGTCACACCTGCCAGAGGCGCAAGGGAGGCGAGGCCTTCCCACTGCTCCCAGCCTCCAGTTGCCTCCAGTGGGGCGACACGTTGGGTCACCCGGACAAAATGAGTAAATTTAACCTAAACAAAAAACGTCCCCTCCCCAAAGAAAAATTCAAAAAATTCAGGATTTGAACCTTGGCCCGTTCCGCCAGAGCGTCGCTGCCGTTGGTTCGGCCACAGCGCAATACGCTGCCGCCGCTGCTGCGGTGCGGGACCGTTCGCGTATCCACCCGTTGCGGTCAGACGTTGGTCAGACGAGATGGGAATCGGGCAGGCGGCGCCGAATTAGAGCATCCCCGTTGCCCGGGGGAGGGGGTGGGGGACGCGCACCTGCCGCACGCAGCGCCACCAGGAGCGGCCGTCGTACAGTGGGCCAGAAGACCAGTGGAGGCGGCCAAAACCCTAGACGCGTTTTGAGCTCCAGAGTCGCTAAACAGGACTCGAACCGAACGTGTGACCCCACCAAGGGATTCCTCGTTCGGAGAGCAATCTATTGGTGGGGTCACACGATCGGTTCGATCCCCAACGAGAGGCGTTTCCAAGTTTGTCTTTGGGCGGCCGCCCGACGGCACGGCGATGCAGACCAGAAGCCGTGTACTACACTGTGCGACACTGCCACTAGTGCCACCACACTGCATGGCCGCGGACCACCGCCGGTGGCGCCCCTAGCGGCCGGAGTCCGCGATAAGCCCCTCGTTGTGGAGCTGGAGACTCCAGAGAACGACCGCCACCGCCGCGCGGCGCGGGCAGCACCACGCACCCCTCGCACCCGCCCGGTGCCTTGCGTGCTTTGAATGGAAAGCGCGCGTGTTTTCGAACCGCCGACGCGGTGCGGTCTTCCCCGCCCGACTCGCTGCCCTGAGGGTCGCTCTGTCTCTCTCGCACCCCTGCGCAACGCCCCGCGAGTGCGAGGGAGACAGAGCGACGAATCTTGTGAATCGGGCTGCTGCTCCGCCACCGCACTGCGCAGTTGCAGTCCGCTGTTGCGACGCGACGGATTCGGACTCCGCGAGCCCCGACTGACTGTGTTTTTTGTTTGTTTTTGTTTCCGTTTTTCGCCGACGGACTGCGCCAAATCATCACGCCGCCATGATGCAGCGCCATTTTTCCGTCGTGAAATGAGCCAAGCCAAGCCACTGACGTACGGTGGCGCGGAATGCCCGAAAACAAAGAGGGGAACGAAAAAAAAGGCAGCAAACGATCCGAAATGAAGCCTCAGGCAGCGGTCGGAACGGCACTCTAGTTCTGCCGCCAGAAGGCACCGCACTGCGAGTCGCCTAGGGTGGCTAGCCTGGGGGAAGGCGAAAGGGCGGTCAGTGGGCAAATTTCGCTACATCGTCCCCCCTGGTCCGGTACACTGCCACTGGGGGACCGTTCCCTCAGCCGCGGTTTCTCCTGTCGTGAATCGACGGCAAGGCCAGGTCAAGGTCGACTACGGGGACTGAATGACTGAATGGTCTGCGTTGGTGGCGCAGTTCGTGAATGGTGCCCGCGGTGTCCCCGGAGTCCCGCATGCTGGCGATACGGGGCTCCGGGAAGAAAGGAAAAACAGCAGCTTTCCTTCTTCCTTCCACCCCCACCTGCCCCTCTCTCTATCTGCACCGGCGGCATGCCGACGATAGCCTGCCCCGGAAGATGATTAGCCAGAACGCCTCGAATCGTATCGGCCGCCTTCGGTCGCCTTTTCAGCTGCGTGCCGCGATCGACGCCACGCTCTAATCCAGCCGTCGCTCTGTCTCTCTCGCACTCGTGGGGCGCGCCGTGAGGGTGCGAGAGAGAGGGGCGTTTCTTCGGAGTCGCTGGGCAGGAGCCACCCTCGCGGTGAAGGGCGAGGCGCGTTCACGGAAGACGTTCACCTCGGCGTCCACGGCGCCGGCGGGCGCCAGCATTGCCCAACGGCCGGGGCGGGGCGGGGCGGGGCGGGGCGGGGCGGGGGGCGGGGCGGGGCGGGCCGTGCGATAGTGCGCGGAAACGCGCCCCCCGCTTCCCCCTCACCACCGACTGTTTTCCGAGAACTGGCCGCGGACCGCCACGGCGGCGAGCGCACGGCACGCACCCCCGCCGGGGCCTAGCAGCCTGCCTGTCGCTCCGTCTCTCTCGCACTCGTGGGGCGGCCCGTGTGGGAGCGAGAGAGACAGCGCGACGCGGCGAAAGCCCGTAACTGACACTCGGCGCGGCGGCCGGGCGGCGGACACCCTTCCCGTCGGTGTGCCACTTTTGGTTCCGGGGGCTGCGCGCTGCGCTTCGTGCGGCACCTCGCCCTCACGCCCTGACAGCTGTCGCCGTCCTTTGGCTCTCACTCTGTCTCACTCTCACTCATCGCCGGCGCCAGCGAGACTGCCAGCAGTGGACACGACCGTGTGGAAGGCTCGCGAAGTCTGTCTGGGTAAACGGAGACCTGGAATTTATACCACGAATCCGTAAATAATGTGTCAAAAATGCAAAAAAAAAAGTTAAAAAAATGCTTGCAGTTCTGTTTCATTTAAAATTCTTGCGCGGGGCTTTTAACGTCTTTCTTTTATTTTTCACGTAACCAGTGGAGCGGGCCGACACCGCGGCGGCACGTACTCCCGAACGTCCCCGACCCCAACAGGTGCCGTCGGACTGACCGCGAAGTCGCGCGCATCGAAAACTCAAACATCAAACAGCGTAGGGCCCGCAGGTGAGCGACCCTGGGGCTGGCATGCGCGTCGAGTGGCGAGTGGTGGAGCAGCCAGTGAAACCGAAACCAATGTCACACAAGAGGCGACCGGCGGTCGGTTCGCGGCGGGGCGCGGGTACACTGTTAACAGTCCAGAGGCTGGGACCCTCGCGCACTGACCACCCTCACGGCCCCCCGTGCCGGACTGAGCCGAGCCGAGCCGGGGCGGTTCAGCCACGCCCACTGGATCGGTTCGCGGCTTGGCCGGCTTGGCGGACCGCGGCACGGTTCGCGCTCCGCGGTGGCCGGGGTCGCAGCCGCGAATGACCTGCAGACCGACTCCGAGAGTGGTTTTCTGTCTCTCTCGCACCTGCACGGAACGCCCCCAGGAGTGCGAGAGAGACAGAGCGACGAAAACGGCTCGCGGAAACAGCTTTGCTGCCTTGATAGAGCGCTGCCCGTGCCGCAACGGAACTTTGGCTGGCCGGGCCTCGTTTTGGTTTCCTGTGGACTGTGCCGGCCGTGCAGACGACCCATGGATGAAGTTCGCTGAAGCGGCGTGTTTGCGGCCAGGCTAGATTCGCACTGCGAGCGTGTCGAAAAAAAAAGGCGAGAGTGTAGTGGGACTCGAACTCCGGACCTTCATGCTCAGTGCCGACGCCTTAACGCTCTCGTCCGCAGCGAGGAGCACGGTGTGAAGCTGGGTGCTTGCCCACAGTTTTTAACCGCGGCCACCGCGGACACTGACAGTGAAAATCGGTGCGCGCGGCTCGCAACCAAAATAACAACACCACTCTCGGTACACTGTCAACGCGAAGCGAGTGAATGAGCGTCCCGCGACAGCCAATGAGCGGCGGGCAAGCCACTCCTACGCGAGGAATCCCCGGGCTAACGAGTGTGCTGGCTGGCTACGCGGCTCGCGCCCTATCCGCTCCACTTCACGGGGTGAAAGTGCCCCCGGCCACTCTCAGCCAGCAGCCGGCCCACACCGCGCACAAATTATTTCAGAGGGGAGCTTCTCCAATTTTGTGGGGGAAATCCCAGCGGTGTGATTGGTGGAAGGCCCGAGGACTGTGTCCAAAAAACGGAGGAACATTCACGGTGTTTGACTTTTAGGCGGCGGGCGACTTGAACGCGGGAGCCTGGCGACGACGCGGTAGGCAACACCTCCGCCACGACGCAGCCCTGCTCGTCGGGATGCCTACCCTCCCCACTGCAGGCGGCGGCGCTGCCCGCTTAGCATGTTGTTGTTGTTTTGGCGCGCTGGCCCAGCACAGGGTGTGCAAGGCGCGAAAGCCCGGCGCGAAATCGTGCCGGAGTTTGAATGGGGCAGACGGCGCTCCGGCGGCGGGACGGGGCGGCGGGACGGGGCGGCGGGACGGGGCGGCAGACGTGTCCCCCCACCCCGCCGTCCCGCGGCCCGGCCCGGCCCGGCTGACCAATGACCTTACGTTGTTTGCACCACGTGACCGGCGCGCGCTTATATAGCGAGGCGCGAACGGCGAGAACGCCACTACCGGACTCGCCGCCACCGCGTGTCAACGTGCGCCGTGCACTTCTTCCTCTTTCTCTCTCTTCCTCTCTTTCTCTCCCTCTCTCTTCCTCCTTCCTCCTCTCCTGTCCCTGTCCTTCCCCCGTCCGGGCCATGTGCTAGCAGACGACGCAGCAGACGACGCGCCGCGTGCCGTTTCGCCGGTTCCGACTCCGCCGCGTGTGGACGCGAGCGACGCGAGCTCACCGACGTCGCCATGGCCGCGCGGACGCCCCGCCTGCCCTCCACGACGGCAGCAGGTGAGTCCAAGACCAAGAACGCCCCGGGAACGCCCCGGAACGCCCAAGAACGCCCCGGAACGCCTGTCTGGATTACGAACTAGGATACGTCAATAGGCTGCACCTTCAAGAACCACCGTCCCAGGAGGGGACTACCTTGTGTGCGAGCGTGTGCGACAGTTCTTATGCGTCATCGAACTGAAAGTGAAAACAAAATAATCAGTGGCGGTGACATGAAATAATCGAGCCCATAATCGCAAAGTCGTGCCACAGGGGTGTCAATCTGGCACCTCGTTTATCAGCGTCAGACTGGACGAGGCGAGACGGCATGGAAAAATTAGGTGTTATGGCGGTGGCCGCCGGGCCGCGTGAGTCACAGTGCGTCGGAGAGTGGGGATCGGCCAGCTGCCAGATGCACTGGTAGATGCACTGGAAGATGCACTGGCCGGTGCACTCGCAGATGCAGTGCTGCGCAGCTTCTCGGATTCCGGAAACTGCCTGGTCCAGCCGTTCAGCCGTCCGCGAGTTTGCTCTGGGCTAACCGTGCCGTGCCGTGCCGCGCCTCACATACCCGTCGCTATCGGGCATCTGATGCGCCAGGCCATCTCCGCCATCCACGCCATCTGCCGGTCGCGGATCGAGTCGTCTGCATCGCCGGACGTCACTGGGACTCTGGGGTGCTGTTGTACGGTGGAAAACTTTCACTTGTCTGTCCGTATCGTAAACAAAAGCCCGGCCGGCACCGCTATAGCGCGCCGTTGTCGCCTTCCCGTCGTCCGCCTTGATAACGCTCAGCCAATTATGTAACGGAGACGGCGAACCGAACCGCGCGAGCTTCGAATTGGCGGCCCGTGGCTTCCGATTCGGACTCTTGCGGTTGGTCATGGTTTCAGAACAAAACAAAACTTTTTTTTTAAATGTTTAATTATTTTTCAGCAATTTCTAATTTTTGTTTTTTGTTTGTTAGAATGAATTGGAACTCTAGGCCCGTGGGATAGTAGACTCCGCCGAAAATTGGCGGGAACGGTAAGGGGAACTTCGTCCGAAGCGCTTTGCGTGAATTGCGAGTCGCACCTACCGAGAACCGAGGACCGCGAGAATGAACCGTGCGTCGAGGAAGCGCGGCTCGGCACGGCGCGGCGCCACGCGGGAAGGACGGAAAGAAGGAAGGAAGGGGGTTTCCCGCCAGTTCCGTCGGCACAGCCGTCATTACGGTGTCGGAAATCAAATCGGAGTCCCCGGAGAAGGAGTCGGCGTCGTGCGGGAACAAGTCGTAAATTTGGACGCCGCCGCCACCGACCGCCACGCCCTCGCAGACGTGCACCAGGACCACCGCGTCGAGCCCTCCTCCGAGGACGCCGATGGAGTGCCCTGGCGGGATGGCGGTGTCCTGGACACAGTGTCCTGGACACAGTGTCCTGGACACAGTGTTCTGGGGACAAAGTCCTGGACACACTCCCACATCCGCATCCCGGGTCGGATGGCCAATAAATTGAACGTGGCGCCTAGCCTCCGAATCCTGTTGGAATCATTTCAAATCGCGCCGTTCTTGGCATGGAGCCGCCGCTGTAGAATCAGCCGCGAAAAAAAATGACGAAATTGGAATTCTAAAAATAAAATTGGTGTAAGTGATGGGCAGTGCTCGTCCCTGGTTCCTGAGGCTCCCACTGCTCGCTCGCCCAGTCGAAACCAAGAGCAAAGCCCGTTTCGAATTTGGCGCGCAAGGGAGCGATTCCGAACCGTGCTTTGCCGCTCTGCTCTCTCTCGCACGCCCACGGCATGCCCCTTGAGTGCGAGAGAGACGGAGCACTGTTCGGAATCAGCCTGCTGCTGACTGGTCAGTCTTCCGCCTCCATTCAAATTTTGTCCACGAGACGGTCGGGTCGGGGCCGGATCGGATCGGGCCGGCGCCAGAGAGCGGCACGGCGGCACGGCGCAGCGCAAACCCGTTCCGCTGCCACTGCCATACTGCCATCGTTGCCATCATTTTGGCGGCGGGGCGCAGCGGGGTGCCGCGACGCGACCCGCATCGTCCTTGTCGCGCACACTCCACACACACGCGCACACACATGCACGCCGGACTCGGACCTCATTGACGGTGCACGGACTCCAACAAGCGTTCGGAATCTGACTGAACAGGATGACAATCACCTTGGCCATGCCCGGCGCAGGACTCCAGGACTCCTGCTCGGCGGCGTGGTGGAGAGCGGAGAGGGGGCAAGGACCGCAAGGGACCCGAGCGGGAAGTAGAGGGTGTGGCCGCAAGACTCTGCGCCGCAGAGGGGAGGGCTGCAGTGGGTCCATGTCGCAGTTTGCAGACAAGACCGGCCGCATGCAGGAACAGGACTCACACTCACTCACACACACGCCCCTCCCCTCCGCGGGCCGAGCCGGATCCGCGTTAAAAGTTGACCGTCGTCGTGAGATCCGGGTCACGCGGGTCGCCGCCAGGCCGACCCGACCCGCCGCCGAGCCACGCTGCCACGCTGCCACGCACCGCCATGCAAAGTCAGCAAGCTCAGCAAGCGCACGAGGCTCCTCTTCCATTATGACAGCGTCCGTCGCTCTGTCTCTCTCGCACTCGGGACGGCCCGTGGAATCCGTTTGCGGATGGCCGGGCAGCGGACGGCCGGGCGGACGAACAGATGGCGAAGATGGCCACCGCCGAGGTGGGGCCGGTGGCCGGTGCACTGTTAGGACCGGTGTGGGCTGGATAGAGCTGGCGGAGTATGTCCACTGTAAGTCCACGGCGCCCTCCATGTTCCCATGAACCATGTTCCCTAAATCGACTTCAATTTCCTTCCCCCACTCCTTCTCCTCCTCCACCTTCGCCTTGGTCTGCAGCGGCAGCGCCGACGCCCCAAGGCCGTCCTCCAGCTGATTCGACCGGCACTGTCTGTCTGCACTCGGGGCGACAGGCCCACAGACGGACGACAGACAGGCAGGCAGACAGGCAGACAGACAGACAGACAGACAGACAGACAGACTGACTGACGAACGCGCGCACTGATCGCGGAACTTGCCGAACGCTAACGGGCAACTCGGTTACGGAGTCAGGACGTTTCCGACCCCCACTGATAAGAAACGCATCGGCCAATTAAATATTAATGATTTGTGTGTCTGTCCCGCAGGGCTGTCGTCCGCGCTGGTGCTGCTTCTGCCCTTGGTGGTCTTCTTTCTGGCCGCCCCGATAGAGGGGAGACAGCCGGTGAGTCAGCCGCGTGAATGTGCACGTGTGTGTGAGTGTGTCGGCGCGGGCGTGTGTGTGTGTGTGTGACCACGTTTGACCACTTTTGATCGGGCTGTTGTGGCTCTGACCTGGGTGGGCCTCGCCGCGGCACGCCGCGAAGTGCTAAACTCACACGTCCTACACAGCAAAAAAACAACATCCGCTCTGCTTATTCAAATGACAGTTTTTTGCGTTTTTCTTGATTATTCATTAATCCCATTTTGGACTCTAGAATAGTGTTTCTTTTCATGCATTGTTTCCCGATGCACTGTAAAAAATATCGTCTTAATTTTTGTATGTTTCGCGTGCGTTGCCCGGTAAACAAAACAATAACGCGACGGCTTGTTGTTGTTGTTCCAGGGAGACTCCTTCCGGCCGAACACGCTGCAGAACCCGCCGGCCTCGCCGTCGTTCCAGAGCACGCTGCAGAACGCGCTCAACTCCCTGGCCATCCCCGCGGCCTCCTCGTTCAGCGCCACGCTGGCCGCCACCACGCGCTTCTTCGCGTCCTTCAGCTCCACCTCCACCACCAGCACCGTCCTGGAGGCGGGCGGGGCCAGCGCCGGAGGCTCCGGGTAGGTGTACGACGGCACGTAAGCGAACGCCGCCAAGTTCGAAAGCAGAGAAATGAAATGTTGTTTGTTGCTCTTAGGGCCCTGGCGGCGTGCGTGCCCGGGGAGGCCGGGACGTGGCCCGTGCCGGGCACCAACTGCAACATGTTCTACCGGTGTGGGGGCGGACGGCGCCCGCTGCAGTTCAGGACGTGTCCGCCGGGGAAGGTGTACTACGCTGAGTATCAGGTACGGAACACTCTTCTATCGAGAAGAAAAAAGCAAAGGCGTCGAGGGGAATCGAACCCGCGGCCGGCGAGTGTCAGTATCCCGCCCTGCGCACTCGGCTAAAAGGAACCGCTTTTGCAGGACTGCGAGTACCCGACGCCGTCGTGGCGCTGCTGGGAGCCCATCTGCTCGGGGCGCGTGGACGGCCTGTACCCGGACTGGTCCACCAACTGCCGGCGCTCCGTGCGCTGCCAGGGCGGCAGGGTGACGGCGGCCATCGGCTGCCCGTCCGGCCAGCTGAGCACGGGCCGCGGCGGCTGCAGGCCCGCGCACGAGGTGTCCTGCCCCCGCGTGTCCGAGGGCTCCGCCCCCGTGCACCTCGCGCCGCACCAGCCCGCCGCCGCCCCCGTGGAGCCCGCCCCCGCGCACCCCCTGTGCTGGGGCAGGTCGCCGTCGCTGACGCAGGACCGGTCGCCGTCGTCGCGCTGCCGGCAGTACTTCCGGTGCACCGCCAGCGGCCAGCGCAGCGTGGAGACGTGTCCGGGCACGCAGGTAAACAACGCGCAGCCACGTCGAGGGTTCAAATACCCGCTCCCCGGATTTAAATCTTTCATTCACTTGCCCCCCAGGTGTTCGACGGGACCCGCTGCCTGGACTCGGAGTACTACACGTGCTCCGTGGGCGCGGACTCCGACTCGGCGTCGTCGCCGTGCGACAGGCTCTCTGACGGCCCCCACCCCCAGCCCGGCTCGCGGTGCCGCGCCTACTTCCGGTGCTCCCTCGGCTTCAAGAGCGTCTTCGTCTGCTCGGGCGACTCCGTGTTCGACGGCGAGCGCTGCGTGCCCGGCGGCCTCTGCGCCGAGGACTCCGGCGTGGGATCGTCGCTGTCCTCGCAACAGCAGCAGCAGCCTCAGAGGCGGCCGCAGTCGCAAGACGGCGTGTGTGCCGGCAAAAGCCACGGCTACTTCGCCGACGTCGCCTCCGGCTGCAGAGGGTGAGTTTTGGTGGTGGTTGTGTAAGCGCCGTCGGGGTAGGCCGGCCTGTTACGCACGGCAGCGCTGAGCCCGGGCGGCTGCCTACCCTGCGCTTGCCCGGAATTCGCAGGTAAATTCGCGTCCCTTGCTCATAGCGGCCCTGCCGTTTACTAAAACCCTGTCCCTGTCCCTCCCCTCCAGCTACGTGTACTGCTTGTCCGGCGCGCCGGTGGGGACCTTCCGGTGCGAGGGCGGCCGCCGCTTCGACGGGCGGGTGTGCGCGGACTCGGACTTCTGCAACGGCTTCCCCGTCGCCTCCAACTTTGCGTCATCGTCGACCTCGTCCTTCCAGCAGCAGCAGCAGCAGCAGGCCGTGAAGCAGGGCTTCTTCGCCGACCTGCAGTCGGGCTGCCGCAGCTACTCGTTCTTCATCGCGGGCCACGAGACCAAGCTGTCCTGCCCGGCCGGCCTGCTGTTCAATGGCCAGCTGTGCGTCAGCGAGAACACCTACACCTGCCCCCCGGGCTAGCGCGGCGTGGCGGCGTGGCCGGACAGACGAGTCTAGTCTCCTCCACCAGAGGCACTCTCAGGCAGCAACGTCCGTGAGGGGCGAGGGGCGGCCGGCCGGCCGGCGCGATGCTCGCCACAGAGATCTGGGGTCGTGTTTTCTGTCCCGGCAAGTCGTGATACCGGAGCGGAAACCGGATAAGGCTGAAGGCTGGGCCCGCTGGGCCGCGGCAGTGTGTCAGACGTATCCCAAACGAAAGCCGCTTGCTTGGTTCAGAGTTCGGGATAGAGGGACGCAGTCACCTTCAGGAGGTGTGGTGTAGTGTAAGGAGAGATAGCAAAAATGCCAAATCAATGATGTAACATGGGAGCTCGAAAATGGGCAAAGGAAAAGTCATCTAGTCAATTAATGTTATTACTATTTATTCTATTTATTGTAGAATTATTTGATTTTCTTAAATTGCAGAAGTTCCAATGAAGCCAGATACATTCAATGACAACAAAGTAAATCAAGTTGAGTAGAACACACTTGTTGGTGTTGCAAACTTAGCACTTGGCCATTGATGGTTGATTACCATAAGATAGATAATATTCAGTCTACACACATAGAAATGTATATATATAGAGATATTTCTGTACATAAGTGAACAAGTATTAAAATCTTATTACAGCATATAAACCTAATTCAAGTGTAAAACACAACTCACATAGTCTACATAACTTGACAGAGTCAAGATAAAAATTAAAATCACAAAACTGATAGAATGATTAAGAATGCATCGTAAATGGCACATCATTAACATATAATAATAAATCTCCTGGATCAAATAACATGGTCCTCTGAAAACCAAAACAAACAAAGAGTTTCTTTCTATTCAGCTTAGTGCCACATGTGTTCCCCAGAAAGACCCAACAGTCTGCATCATATGCAGAGTATCTGAATGTCATATGTTCAACCAAATACTAAAACTATGAAATAATTGCATGCAAAAGCAGAACAGGAGAAGACGTGTTTTATAGATTAAAGTGTCCAATGCTCACTGACCAATGACACTTTTATTATTTGAGAAAAATACCAAAATACTGTACACTTCCTTCAAAACATCGGCCGTACAGTGGCAATTATTAAGTGTAAATTCAGCATCATGGAAGTTTTGACCTTGAACTTGTACTCCAAGTAAAACAGCTTCTAAACAAGCAGTTTCACAAAGACAAAAGAAAGAAAAATAGAATCTAATGTAATTTCAACACTATGAGACAATTACAGCTTTTGTCTCATGTCACCACTTTAGCAGAAAATACAACAAGCTGCAAGTGACGGGCGTAATCTTAGTGAGGCACAATTAAACACCTTAATTATTTTGCTGTGGTATGTTATGGTGTGATCACTGACAAATTCAACAAATAAAGCTCATTTTTAACTTGTACACACTTGCTATAAAAAATAAAGCACTACACATCTTGCTTTTCTGTTTGAATACAAATGTATCTTTATATTTTAATTTTTTTTTATTTTACTTTTTGGTCTTCATTATATTACTTAAGCTACAGCACTTTTGACATGAGCTTTACAATAATAAACAAAGAGTGTTAAAGAGGGTGAACTTATTAGCACCAAATAATATAAAAAAATAACTTTTCAGTAACAATATACCATTAACATTACAAGCTCCATTTTGCCAGAAATGGTCTCATTGAAATCTCAACTACATAAATAAAGAGGTCCAATGAAAGAGCATAACAGTAATTACAGTGGTATGTGGAAGTGTCAAAGCGTACCCACTAGAATCATAACCATTCACAATCAAATTCACAGCACACACCTAGAGAGGTCAAACCTAGAAATGGTTTAAATTTGATTCATCTAAAGATCACAGAGTGTCTTCCAGGAAGATAATAATCAACAAGGCAAATTAATGCTAACTACCCATAGAACAGGAAACAGAACAGTGAAAGACGGATTTTGCAATGCGTTAACAGCACAGCAAGTGAATAACTGCAAAATGACATTAGAGAGATCTCAATAAACATCTTAACATCATAACAAAGTCAATTAAATCTGTAAGGGGTGATTTCTAAATATTTTGCTGATGGTATATTCTGTAATTTTTACTGTTACAACTATGATACTATACCACATTCATGCCATTAACCAGCATGACAAAATGCAATCCATAAAGTTTAGGAGCGCCCTCTTCAATACATTTTTAACTAACCTTCTTCTTTCTTTCTTTTTCACTAACATATCAAGTACACCAATGTTTGCGTGTACATTAGGGTTCTTTGGAGTTCAAAATTCAGCTACCTCACCTTCTCTGAGTCAATGTCAAGAAGAAAATTTTATACTATCAAATCGTTTCAACAAAACTGTTCTCTCTTGCTTTAAAACAAGAGAGAGAAAAGAAGATGTTAAATGTAAGAGGTATGATTTCAAATTTCAAAGAGCACATAGCTCATATATTTTAAATATTTAAACATACCCAGCCAAAAATCAACAATATAACAGTCAAAGCCTTTGAGAACATGTGAATTAAAATGTAAACAGAGCCCTTGTGTGTCATTGCAACACTCATTGCAAGACTGCTGAAATATCCCACAACTTCACAATATGGTCTTGTCCAACGGTCAAAAGTCGCTTTCTTGATTCATCAACATCCATGGCGACAATGCTGTGCTTGGCTTCATGGAACACTGCAAGTGATGGGTTTCTGGGGGTTTGACACAAAATAAGAGCAAAATTAGTTGGAAATAATAGCAACATTTCAACTAAAACAAAAACTTGAGGATGTAGGAACTCACTCTGAGGCTTTCAGTTGGGCATAGCATGGTTCGCACACACGAACATCAAACTCGAAGCCCATGGATGGAATGGCGTGTCTGGGAGAGGAACATCGGTCGCACACAGCGCGCCCACAGCTCCGGCAGTGATGCTGTCTCAAGCCCAATTGCCTCTGATCCATCATTGCTCTGAGGTTCCAGAAAAATGGACGTTCACATCTTTGACAAGTATCTGAATCTGCCCATTGGGGAGTCTGAAAACAATGCAACAAATTAAAAATTAAAAAACCCAATTAAACCCCAGTATATTACGCATACTTTGAGTGGGGAGAAGACAGTACCTCTAGACGAGATTCTCTCATATCCCAAAATACAACGACTGAATCTTCTCCTCCTGAGATCAAAATTCTCCTTGAAGGTGCATAACAAATGGAAGTTATTTTGTTCCTGATTGGGATAGATAAAAAAATGAATATAATAAGAAACAAATGAGAAAAATGAAACAGTGATTAAGTTTCAAGTGATACTGACTGATGACCATTTAATTCATAAGCTGTTCCGCATTGTCCTCCGATGTCCCATGCAATGACCTGCTGATCAAAACTTCCAGAATACAGGAACTGACCATTTGAATCCCATGTCAATGCACGGATGCTTCCTGTGTGGCCTTTGAGATTTGTAACATAGCGGATAATTCCACTCACAACTCCACCAGAGTTGCCAATGCTGGACTGAGCCGCAGCCTCATCAATTTTCAGCATTGTAATCTGGCCACCATAATCACCCACAAAGATGACTTTGGCTAGAGAATCAAATCTGAGCAAGTGTTAAAGAAAACCACAACAATGACAAGACCAACAAACAAAAACACCCATTTTGGGCAGTAAAGTCAAGTGTAAAGGATACGCTACTGCAGTACACCAAGCCTCACTCACAAAAGAGCCTAAACAAAGACCAGATTGTGCACAGTGAAGTTTAAACATCTTATCCCGACCCACACTGAGCAGCCACTGACAACGATCAGAGAGTAAAACAGATGTTACTCGAGCTGTGTGTGCTTGATAATCTTTCGAATGCGAAATTCTATTGCGGTCCTCAGCAACAAGGAATTCCTGTGAAAATAAAAATTTGTTATTATCATTTCAAAAATCATCAAAATAAAGGAAAACTTTCAGGGAAAAAGAGACTGAGACAAAACTTACAGATATCTGACCACTCTCTTGCCCAACAAACAATCGGCGTGACTGTTTGCAAAAGTGAAGAGCTGAAGCGGCTGACGGCATATAGTGACAGACACTGGGCCAGTATTGTCCAGACTCTCTCCATAACCAAACACGCACAGTTCTGAAAACAGGAAAAATAGGTTTCAAATATTAAGGGAATAAATTCTCAATCTTGATATGGAAAACCTTGGCAGGAAAGATCAATGATGGTGATCTAACCTGATTAGACATACAAAAATTACTGAGGACAACTTATCAATAGATGAAATTATAGAAAATCCGCAGATTTAGAAAACAAAGAATTGGACAGAGCAATTGGCAATTTTATTTCACCTGTCATCGCAGACTGTGATGATGGCATCTTCACCAGGAATAATGACTGCTGCATTCACATCATCATTGACACCTTCTAGTTTGGACAGCAGCACAGGTTTCTTTGGCGTGTTGAACCTGTCGTTCAGGCCAGGGCCTGGTTTGATTTCAGCAGCCATGATCACTTCTTTCAGCTCGTTTCATTCGCCCCAAGGCAGCCTAAAGTTGGAGTGAAGTGTCAAAGTATACAAAAGCGGTCTGTCGAATGACAAATGAGAAAGGAACAAATGAATGGAAGCAAGTGTTGCCTTGCAGAAAAAACACAAACGTCCTCCGTTTGGTGTGCAGTGTTGCCAAGTGGACGGTTCATCGGCTGTTACCAACATTTGAAGAAAAAAACTCCTCACAGTTTTGGTATTGATTTATGTATTGAAATGTGTGATATATGATACTGTTGAATAAAATTAAGTCTGAAACATTGTTACGTACCCGTTTCCTTTTTGCAAAAAAACTCAAGGTAGCTTGGCGGAGGGGGCAGACCCGCCAACTTTCAATGTGTTCGGTTGTTTGGTTGACAATGATATCGTCTGCTCCCGCCGTGTGAAAGTAAACACCACAACGCGCGGACGTAAAAAGCCTGTAGGTGCCCGGTTAGATGATATTTTTAATTTATTTAATGTATTTATTTATTAGATATCATTGAAAGCTGTGTTTTATTTTCGAGAACTTTGAGAGCAGTAATGGGACGGTCAAAGAAAACAGTCGGAAGGGGGTCTAAGCGTAAGTATCAGCCTAAATACAACTATTCTCACAGCAACAATTCGTTCAGCTCGGTCGCAATGTGTTGCTCACAAACTGACATTTCATGATAGGTCGTGCGAGCAGTTCTGAAGAGAGCGAGTATGAAGAAAAATCAACCGCATCAAAGCGTTCAAAAGGAAGGCCCCAACAAGCTGGAAGCATACACGATATCCATGAGTTCACTGAAGACGATGGGAAGGAATTCACGTCTTCTTTAGTGAACTGGTATAATAAGAACAAAAGGGACCTTCCATGGCGATCATTGTCTAAAAGTCTCTCGTCAACTGACAAGGCTTATTCAGGTGAGCAAGTAATTTCCTTTGTTACACCATATACAGTGTCTGACTATGTTCCTTTCCTATTTTAGTTTTGGTGTCAGAGGTAATGCTGCAACAGACACAAGTAGTAACTGTCATTCCGTACTACACAAAGTGGATGTCTCGTTGGCCAACTTTCAGCCATTTAGCCAAAGCGTCCCTTGAGGAAGTGAATGAAGTATGGGCTGGCATGGGTTATTACAGCCGCGCTAAACGTCTCTGGGAAGCAGCAAAGAAAGTATGTCCTATTATACTGACAGGCTGTCCTGTCTCTTAAAGTGTTAATGTTATCATCCTGATTCTACCAGGTTCACGAGGAATTGAATGCTCAAGTTCCATTGACAAGTGTGGAACTACAAGAGAAGCTGCCTGGTGTTGGTAGATACACTGCTGGTGCTGTGGCCTCCATTTCCTTTGGTGAAAAGGTAGCTGCTGTTGATGGCAATGTTGTAAGAGTGCTGTCAAGAGTGCGTTGCATAGGTGCTGATCAGACATCAAAGGTATCTTCAATTTCTTAGTTCCTCTATACTGCCGTCATAAATAAAATGAAGCATTAATTGTTGGGCATTTACCAGGTCGTTCTTGATCACATTTGGAAGTTATCTGAACAACTAGTACCCTCCAAAGAGCCAGGAAACTACAATCAAGCTATGATGGATCTTGGTGCCACTATTTGTACCCCCAAGAAGCCATCTTGCAAATCTTGCCCTGTGTCACATGTCTGTTTTGCTTACCAACGAACTCAACGAACAAATCCTTTAAAAGAATTACAGGTTGACTTATCTAAACCAGTTATAGAGGACATTGAAAATGGTAAGTACTTTCGGTACTGTGTAACTAGCATGTAATTATTTATACATATTTTTTTTAAAAGTACCGTCAAATATGTTAATGAATTTTTTTACAGTCCCCTGTAGTTTGTGCCTGAAACAGCCTTGGGATGCAGAGTAAGTGGATTTTGCGTGAACAAAAATCTTCAGTCTTGCTTGACTTTTTTTGAAAAACTTTTTACAGCCTGTTGCTTTATTTCTTCTTTTGATTGTTCTTTTTATTAAGGCTAGGAGTCATGAATTTCCCACAGAAAGCAAAGAAAGCACCACCCCGGAAAGAGGTGACTCTAGTTTGTGTTATTAATGCTTCTGATGGTGATAAGGATGAGTATCTCCTAGCAAAAAGACCTCAGGGTGGTAGGTATCTTTTACGCTGCTGTGGTGTGTAACAAAAATTTATCTTGTGAGCTGGAACTTTACATTTACATTTTACACAGGCTTATTGGCTGGTTTGTGGGAGTTCCCAAACATATTGTTTGGTAAAGAACGAAATGAAACTGAAGAAAGGACAGAGCTTGATGAAACGCTGCTGAGAAAGCAGTGGGGAGCAAGTAATTTTACAACTCAACCACATTTTGTTGGGGAAGTTCCACATGTGTTCTCACATATTCATCAATTATACGTCGTCTATTCACTAAGGCTCACTAAAAAATCTGACGTATCCAATAAAAGTGACACTGAAACGGTGTGGATGGACTCAGATGAGATCATGTCATCTGCCATTTCAACAGCCATGAAAAAGGTAAGGGGGGAAAATACCAGGCCATAAGCAGTATGCAGAAATGAGAGAAGAATGAAGTCCTCTTTGTCCGTAATTGCTAATGCTTCTGCTATTTCAGGTGTTTAACGAATTTACTGCTTCCAAAACAAAAGGAAGCCTTGGTAAGACAGGAAAAGGACGCCCAAGATCGAAGAAAACCAGTGTTGACACAAGTTCCAAAAAAGTTTCAGACTTCTTTAAGAAAATTGAAAAGTGAACTTTTTAGTAACTAATAAGTTTTTTAAAAGATAAGAGAATACAAACGCATGAATTAGACATAAACTATAAAGTAATGATGAGTTACGATTGTGTAGACCAATCAGAAGAAGTTGCAGCCCACATGTTTTGAGGGCAAGCAAGCAATGAGCAGATTTCCAATTTTAAACTTAGACCAGGACTGTGTGGTACAGAACAAATAAAAAGAAATTTAAGTATGGCTGAACTTTATTATACACACTTTTTTAACACACTTAAAACTTGAATGGCATTAACAGAGTTTTGGTAGATTTCAAAACAACATGAACACAATGAGGGGTAAAGTGCCTCAACATAAACTTTGTAAATTCGGTTGTTTTATATGATTAAATTTTATACATTTTACAAAAGATTGAGATACATATGCACTTTTGACACTACAGCTACAAAATCATCAGTATGAAGTGCATAGAAAATTGATGCTAGAATATTGTACGTCAAATCATTTCATAACGGTGAGAATAGCACATTCATTTGAAGGACTTGTATAATTTTTAAAAGTTGAAGGAATTTAGTGGCGTAGCGTAGTGGGCCAGATCCGGACACAACTGCTATCACGTACTGGCCACATTGTCTGCTTGATACCCTACACATCAACGAGCGTGAGTGCTCCTTCACAACTGCACCTTAATTACGGAGTAGTCAGGGCAAGCTCCTTCAACGCTCACCATCTATTTATTCTTCAGAAAGACCAATTCATGTATTGAATACTCCATCTTAGAAGTAATGAATCGTTCACTTCATTAAGCTATCTGGAATGCGACAATGTAGTGAATGTGCTAACCTTGAGCCACCTTGCATGAGCATGAATTTGATCTAACCTGGTTTGTAAGTACCAAACTTCAAGGATCGAACACATTTAAAAAAATCTATAACTCATAATTCTACACATATTTTTCTAATAAATATATTTAAACAACACTACAGTAACATTTTCCTATGCATAAAAAAAAGAAACAAAAAAACTGACGATTACACATGAAATATGTGGGCTTCCATCCCATAGATTCTACACAGATAAAAACTAACACAGCTTTTTATGTCTAGTGCAATTTTCATCGGTTTGGAAGGCATTAATTCAACTCAGTCTATAAAAAGGAGATTAACCAAATGGCAAAACTTATAGAACTACAATACGACACAATCATGAAACTAAAACAGTCACAGTACAAAAACCAAACACTCACGACACCATAATTAACAGCCAAAGTATGTTCTCTACAAGATGTTTAGGTTTGAAGTTCTTAAAAAAAAAAAAAAAAAAAAAAACAATAAAATATTGGGTGTTTCATCTTTACAGCATGAAATGAACACCAGTACAAAAATGAGAACTTTTGCCATAGTGAGAAACACACACATTCCCCTCAATTTAAGAAAGGGGAGTCAAAATTTTAAAACACAACAGAAGTATAACAATGTAAATGTGAATCATGTTTTCCATCATAACAAGTGTTTAAAAGTAGTTAGGCAAACATCTGGAATGAGAAGGGAAAATCCTCATGGATGATGCAGCTTAAAATCAATACTACACCAATCAATTACTACAAAATTCTCTAACATGCATGTTTTAATTACACAATGGTTTGGTGCAGAAAGTCATCAAGACACAATATTCATTTCAACAGAAAATCTAAAAGGTGTCATAGACTATGTGACATCCAACAATCTGACCATGTAATTTTGTGTTTGAATCTTTATCCAATTATCAGTTTTTCTTTCCACATGGCAAAACTTGGGAATTGTAACAAAGTTTATTGAAGTTGGGACGGAGAAATCTAACATATTCTGCTTTTCAAATAATGAAAACTAGACGAATAAAAGTAATTAATAAGACCATCTCCCACCCTGCAAGAAAGGGCAATTCACAAAACAATCCTTACATCAATAAAAAAAATATATAAGGAAAGAAATCAGTCATATGTGAAAGACAAGAAACACAAAAAAAATAACCCAACAGCACTGCCCCTTATGCTTTCTTCTGATAGGCTCGCTAGGAAAGCATGTTTTTGTGTATTACCAGCCCCTTTGTCTGAAGTGTTTTACTTTACATTTAGCACTCAGTACAAATTAGGAAAGACAACTCTTGCTCCTGTGATAAGATTTCATTTAGCAAGTTAGCAATTTAGACCAAAGTAACATTATTAGTAACATTGTATTGTCAATACAAATCGAAATGACACAAGAACTATAAGCAAACACAATAATTTGAAAACAAAGCTTAAGTTGCAAAGCTGTATGTCTCACTTATCATTTCTAAACAATATTGCTTGTATTCTTACGGATTACCAACCATTTATAAAGAAGCATACTATGGCAATCAAGAGCAGTCTTAAACATGGTTGGTACCGACATTGCATCTTCTTTGAGCAGCACACATCTAAACCTTAACATTATGATGGTATGATACTATTTGAGCCTAAATTGAAATATTTACACAATTTTTGGATGGATTTTATCTTTAAAAGAAAAGAGAGACAGGGAATTGGCCACATTAGAAGGAACAGTAGGGTTCTCACTCAGCATCTTTCAGTTACAAACCATGAAACAATAACCTCATTCCCATTTGCTCATGTAAAACAAAGGTGCGGAATTACTTTGGGTTGAATGTGACACTAAGATGTCTCAGTTCCAGGAACAAATCAGAAGAGGAAAAGAGATCAAGTCCCTTGTGTGAATAACATTAGGTCCATTTAAAAATATCCAGTCTATGTCATAAATGACACTCTTAGCAACACAGTGCAAAAGTAAATGATGAAGCTGGAGAAAATAAACTATGGCAATGAAAAAGGGAAAGGAAATGTGTAAATAAGGTTTTAGTTTCAGCGAGTTTCAGCTTAATTTGGATACATTTTCTTTTTGCTAGTACAAGCTACTTTGTTCGTTATTAGATTTGTTCTGACTTTGCCACAAACATAAAAATAAGAACTAAAAGTAACATTGCAGCCATGAAAATGGATTGTTGACAAAAGGAATGAAGTGTAGATAGTTGCAACAGTAATCTACTGTGGTAAGAACCTGAAAGAATATGGGGTACAAGAACAACCTCCACCTTGAGCAACATTCGCCACATATATTCCCTTGCTAATTGATGCTGACATCTATCCTGTGAAACTTATTCTGCCCTCACAGCCTACATTCAAGGACAGGAATAAATGAGCCCATTATTTAAGCAAAATTATTGGACGGATCTGATCAGAGAACATTTCATTTAATTTTGTACCTCATAAACAGATAGGATTGGTTCATGATCACATCAGGTCCAATGACATTAAACTTTGCACCTCTGACCTTAAATGATTTGGACGCAAGAAAAACTAACAATGAACAGCTTCTATTAAAATCATCATTTTAAGACATCTAAAATAGCTATTAAATAGACCTCAAAGAATGATATATGAATAAAAATACACACAGGTTTTAAGATAACTGGTTGTAGTTAATAATTCTCTGAAATTTAAATCTTAATTTTAAAATCCTTCATTAGCTGGGTATGAATGACACCATAACAGAGCTCACCAAAATCAGATATAAAATATAACATTTCACACAAAAATTTACATAACAATGCTAAACTTGCAGCAGATACCAACACAAAATAGGGGACAAAAGAGATGTTAACACATGCATACATACACTCATGCCAAAACAAGGAGGGTAAACAAAATATAACAGGACATACAGATTGCATACAACATGGCTTCACCAGACCTGATTCAGTTTAGACTGTTCACTTGTCATGTCGCACATGTACACACAAGGAATTCTGCATTTGAAATAGAAAAATGGACTTCTAAGGACATACAGCTCACACCACACAATTTATGTAAGATTTTTATAAAAAGAAATTGACAGATGCACTAACAGTCATAAATAATAATGGCTATTACTGGACAAGACATCCCATCTTCACACTTTCACGCCAAGTTGAGGTCTTTGCCATGGAGACCACAGCCCAATAAAAACCAGGTACGTACTACCAGGTGGTTCAGGGACACCAGGTGCGCCGAAAACGTATTAACTTCCCACAAATCAAGGGCAAAAGAAGATGGCAGCAGCGGCGGTGTGGTTAAGAAGTGGAGAAGAGACGACCCCGAGCGTAATTTGTAATTTATTAGTATTGTAGCCAATGCAAGTCATGCATTGATAGCCTAACTCAAAGCTTTCTTGATTAAAATTGTGGCAAAACTCAACGTCAGGTTTATTAAAAATTACAAGCATTACAGCTGCGATTGTGGCCCACTCAAAAACATTGGAAACTGAATAGAGTAAAGTCTCATTCATAAAATTCTGACAATCTCATCAAAGGGAGAAGTGTGAAAAAATAAGTCAAATGGGAACTAAGTATACAGAGTAGTTGCTGCAAACAATTATAGGATGTTGGCACATGTCAATTGATACAAATGGCTCCAAACACAAGGAATGAGAGATGAGACTGTGTAGCTTCTAGATCTCTTCTTACAACTGTTGATCCCAGTTCAGTGGCACCATGAAATACATGAATAAAGTACACCATTTTCGTCTCTTCATTTTCTTGCATTGACAACAGATTTCAAAATAGGAGCCTGGTCTAGTAGCGGACTGATCGCCCTATAGTCCTTGGCATCACAGATAATGAGAGCCTCATGGAGGCCTACATGACACTTATGTCTCATAAAAGCATACTTTGTCGGCGGGGTATATTGGCGGTATTGGTTTTAGTGAAGATACCTGATGACCGGTATGACCGGTACCCAGGGTCTCTAGATAGCTTCAGTCCAGGCAATGTGAAGATAGATGTCACTACAAAAAAGACAAAAGGTAATGAGAGTGAGCATGGTCTTAAGAGGATGTGAATTAGCACTAGTAAAGAATTTTGGTTCCCATACCATCAGGTAATTTGTGAACACCCGGACCTAAACAAGAGAAGTAGGGATGTTTCATTGCCTCAGCTGCTGATATCCGCTTCTTAGCTTCATACTGTGGGATTTTAAAAAAAAATTATTAAAGTAAGATAAAAACTTGACATAACTTCAGCCGAATCATGACATCAGAACTTACAAGCAGGAACTTAGATAAAAGATGTTTTGCATCTTTGTCAAGCCTAGGAGCCCTTGACAAAAGAGGTTCATTACGAGGGGCACGATAATTTTTTTCATAAATCTCTGTTAGAGGTCCTACAGGAGGGGTCCCTAATGCTCGGAAAATCAGTCCTAGCTGTTCTTCTGCCGTTGAACCAGGGAACAAAGGTCTACCACAAGCCATTTCATAGAAGATGCAGCCAACTCCCCTGAAATGATACAAGGCCATTAAAACTCTCTGTCAAACACATCACTGAAAAGTCTATAAGGCATATTTAAGTTATTGAAACAAACCACATGTCTATTTGCGTTGAATATTCTGTGCACCCTACAAGTACATCTGGTGGCCTATACCAGAGGGTAACCACTTCATTTGAGTAAGTCTTAGTGGGTACAGACTTTGCTCTTGCTAGCCCAAAATCTGCCAGCTGCCAAGTGAATTAGATAGTAAGTGCTTCAAACAGACAAAAAACTAAAGGAATACCAACTCTAAAAACAATTTCTGATTAAACTGCACATACCTTAAGCTCTCCTTTCTCATTAATAAGAAGATTTTGAGGTTTCAGGTCTCTGTGTAAAATGCGTCTTTGGTGACAGTAGGCAAGACCCCGAAGCAATTGAAACAGGAACAGCTGTGTCAAGAGGTGAGCAAATTAGGAAATACACTTGAATTGATAAAATACCAGATGAAAGTATATAAAACAATACTCACCCTAACATTGTTCATACTCAATATATTGCCACAGTCTTCCATGTATTGTTTCAGGTCTTTTTCCAAATATTCAAACACAAGGGTGAGATGATTTTCAGTGTGAATGATGTCATGAAGTGTTACTGAAAAGATGGTACAAAAAGAAAAATTTTACAAACCCTTTAAATTAACTTCAAAAAACTTTCAATTCAATTGTATATTTACCAATATTTGCATGCCGAAGGTCTTTGAGCAGAGACACCTCTCTGATGCCAGTGCAGGGAGCACCCTCGTCAGGTTCTAGCATAATTTCTTTAAGGGCTACAAGATTATCAGTGAGGCGTGACTTTCCTTTGAAAACCGTGGCGTATGTTCCTTGGCCTAGTTTGTCAAGTTTTGTGTAAGTTTCCATCCGGCCGAAACCGATCTCGGAGAGTGACTGCCTTCTTGTTGCTCTACTGAGAGGTCCGTCAATAGTAGGACTAACATTTTGCTTAGCAATAAATGATTCAGGTAAATGCAGATCAGCCGGCAGCGACAACCGTTTGTTTATGTCTTGCTGTATTGACACAAGAAGCACAATTAGGTAAAACCAGTAAAATATTGAAACATTTGCTGAGATCTAGAACACTTACTTCACTAAGTCTTCTATTCTTGGGGCGTAATTTAACAGGTGAGACCACATCATCTGAGGCACCAGATGCTTCCTCAGATTCTCCATCTGAACCAATGCGCAAATTTTCGTGCAAGACACCTGAAATCAGAAGAAACAATAACAAACATTAGCAATAAGCTCTCTAAAATGGGCCTTTTATCCCTTTTATTTCTCCTCATTTTCTGAATCTGTCCCCATAGCCTTGGGTGGGTCGCACCCCGAGCACGAAAGGAAACAGAATCGAAGATGGGGAGAGGGCGGTAGGGTTGTCGGGCTGTCAGTCCTCCGAACACGGTGCCCTCCGCCGCTGCCCTTGGCCAGGCCTGCCTGCTTGCTTGCCACAGTGCTCCATTCCCTTGCCCTTCCTTGCCCTCAGCCTGTGGCTTACACTGCCCTACCGCAGGCCTCGGCTCTGAGACCTGCCCTTCCCTTCCGCGACACTGCTCTTTAACAGGCTAGTGGGCGGTGGTGGTTGGGGGAAGGACAGGGGGGGGGGGGCTTAGCGGCCTGACAAGGGCGTAGCGGAATGAGGCGCACTGTGTGTAAGACAGAGAGAGCTGCTGAGTGAGTGCACGTGCGTGTACTACGTGCACGTACAATGTGTAATGTGTGTGGAGGGGGGGGGGGGTACTCGCGGCCTGGCGGCCCTATCCCTTGGGGCCCTGGCTGGAACCCTGCGCGGCGCCCGGCACGGAGCGGAGCGGCCAACAAGGCCCTGAGCAAGGCGGCAAGGCCAACGATATGCCAATACTACACTGTCAGCTCGCGCTAGCTCGCTAGCTGCCACCCTCGCCGAGCCCCCGGCAGCCGCCCCGGCCCCGGGCCCCGGCCGGCGGCAGGGCGCCGGAACATCGCGCTGGCACACTGCTACGCGCTGCACCGTTCCCGGAAGCAGCCCCGCGCCGCCACGCCGCCATGCCACGACAACCCTCGCGCCGAGTCGAAGCGAGTGACGTCAGCGGCCAGAGGGCTGAAGGGGCGGGGGGGCGTGGGGGGCGCCGTGCAGTGTGGCGCGCGCTGGGCCCCCGCGCTGGGCCCCCTCACCGCGCGCACCGGGGGTGGGGGCGTGACGTCACGGGCTGACTGGCAAGTGGCAAAGGGGATCATCTCCGTCGGCGCGGGCTGCGCGGGCCAGCGCAGGAGACGCGGCGCACGGCAGAGTCCTATCTCTCTGGCCGCGGACCGCGCGAGGGACCGCGGAGCGGAGGCTGGCTTGGGGCAAAGTGCCACGGTTTGCGACGCGTGCCATTACCAGCGACAGGCCTGCCCCGCCGCAGCAGAGAGCGGCCCTGACCGTAGATAAGGCACACTGCATGTGAGTCAACCCCGGAGCGAATTGGCCGGCCAAGTCCCTGGCCGCCCTATGGCCACAGCCCGCTGCCTTCCGTCGCTCTGTCTCTCTCGCACTCGCGGCGCGCGCCGTACGGGTGCGAGAGAGACAGGGCCACTGTTTGGAATGAGCCCCGTCCCATCCGGCCTTGACTAACTTGCCTCTTTGATGGCGATAGCCGTGCCATGAGCGCGCTGATACGTACCCCGCCACGCCACGCCACGCGACCCACGGCCATAAGGCCCACAACTACCAACTGTCCCATGACTATCCCCGATGGTCCGGCCTAGCCGGCCTAGCCAGGCCGGCGTGAATCACAAGCAGGCTGTCTCTCTCGCACCCCTACGGGGCCACGGGCCGCCCCGCGAGTGCGACAGAGACAGAGTGAGCCTGGCGGGCGACAGGCCGGGCATAGCGCAGCATAGCGCCACAGGGCTGCGCGCAGCTCGCGTCGCCCGCGTTGCATGCACCGAGTGGAATGCTAATCCCTGCAGGATTACCGATAGTGCCGTCTGCGCGCAGTGGGCCAGAAGACCGGCGGAGGCGGCCGAAACTCTAGACGCGTTTTGAGCTCCGGCGTCGAAGCGAGCGTGTGACCCCACCAATGGATTCCTCGTTCGAAGAGCAATCCATTGGTGGGGTCACACGTTCGGTTCGAGTCGCATTAAGCGACTCTGGAGCTCGCAACGCGTCTAGAGTTTTGTCCGCCTCCGCCGGTCTTCTGGCCCACTGTGCTGCGGCCCGCTGCACTTGGGCCCTTGCACGGGCCTGTGGCTTTGGGCCGCCGCCCCCCCCCCCCCAAGATGGGCCCATTCCCATACAGAAGCCCCCGTGCCGTCCCGTCCCGCCGAGATAGCGCCCCGCGGCCTAGCGTCCCGCAAACAAGCTGCACACTACACTGCAGGAGCCTCGCCCGCAAACAGACTATACGGGCCGCGGCCCGGCAAACAGCCACTACACTGCCCTCGCTGCCCCGGCCAGCAGGCCCGACTCGAAAAGGCTCTCCAAAAGGGGTGAGAAAGACAACGGCTTGGGACACTGTTCCGGCAGTACTGTCGGAGGTTTGTAGGGGAGCAATCGATACAAGAGAAAACCGCGGGATTTTGCCCTGGTTCGAACCTTGAAACCCTTGCCTGCTCCAACAGGCAAGCAGGCACGTGGGCTGCTTCGCGTCCTTTGCGCTCCGCGAAACACAACGTGTGCGCCGCGATTCGATCAGTCCGAGGGCCGTGGGCGGCCAGGCAGGGGCACTGTACAAATCAGTGCAGCAGTGCGCATAATGAGCTGTCAGACAAGTCCAACTCTATCCTGGACTTCCCCAGCCACTAGCAGTGCGGGTCCTTCCCTGGGCGCCCGTGAGTAGGCAACCCACACCACGCCGGACTTCGATTTGCAAAGAAAAGGTGTGTCAGTACTTGGCGCTCGCGCTGCACCTGAGGTACTCCGGTGTTGAGACAGTCACACTGCGAGTATTAAAACGTCGGGCGGCAGGTCGTCTGTCTCTGTCAGACGCCAGCCAGCGCCATCGGCCATATCGCGCACTAGTCGGTCCGAGTCTGTCCGAGTCGGCCGCACAATGGCCAGAGGGACACAAATCACTTTGGGAGCCGAGCCAGAGCCAGAGCCGCCGCAGGCAGCCGCAGGCATCGCCTAGGCAACATTGCTGCCAGCGCCAAGATTGTTTTGTCAAAAGACATTCCTCAAAATGTCGCTCGACGATTATACACTTTTTATCGCCCACTACACGGCCTGCTCATCGCGGGGAGCTGAGTCCGACCGCGCCACTGCAAGTTCGTCCACCTGGACTGGACGTTTCCAGTCGTCCGATCCCGCCAAAATTTTTTATGTGAGTAGCAGAGCTACGCGAAGCACGTCCAGGCGACCGCTTTCAGTATGCAGGAATAGTCTACATTTTAGTGCGCGGTTATAGGCCGGCTCCACTTTACATGTTCTCGTAAAAAATTACAAAACTTTTCTTTTTTTTTTCAAGTCTGCCTTTTATTTTTTTTCCTGTGCCGTCTCGCTGAGCCAGACGGACCGGCGTGGCCGGGCGTGGCGAGGCGTGGCGCGGACGAGACCAAAGTCCTGGCCAGTCAACTCTATTTTTACAAATTTCCGTTTCCACGACTTCGAGCTTGCCGCCTGCCTGCTCGACTCCAACCTGCCACCCAATCAATCCGGACTGCAGACCGATTCCGAGAGTCGTTTTCGTCGCTCCGTCTCTCTCGCACTCACGGGGCGTTCCGTGGGCAGAGCGAGCCGGCGAGAGGGAACCACGACAAGCGTCGCTGCTCTCGGGCCGTACAAACGGCCGGGGACTGGACGGAGACACAAGGGTGGCATGGGCTGGCATGGGCCCCAGGAGGAAAGGCGAAAGGAAGGGGGGGGGGGAGGCAAGGCCAACCAGTGGCCGGCGAGTGCGTTGTACTGGCCGCCCTGCCGGCGTGCTCCCAGCGCTTCCAGGTTGCAGCCGGTCCGTGTCCATGCAGCCTGCTCCGCCTGCTCACAGTGGGCCAGAAGACCGGCGGAGGGGGACAAAACTCTAGACGCGTTTTGAGCTCCAGAGTCGCTGAATGGAACTCGAATTGAACGTGTGGCCCCACCAATGGATTGCTCTCCGCACGAGGAATCCATTGGTGGGGTCACACGGTCGGTTCGAGTCCTGTTTAGCGACTCTGGAGCTAAAAACGCGTCCAGAGTTTTGGCCGCCTCCACCGGTCTTCTGGCCCACTGTGCTGCTCCGCCTGCTCTGGACTCGACTCGCGCGGACCAAGGAAGCAGAGAGCGCCCGTAAATTCCTTCCAAAAGCAAAGAGAGCGAAAATCGATCCGAGAAAAGTGATACTGGACTGCTCCAGAACGACGCGGGGGACGGGGTGGGGCACAGTGTGGGCGCGATAGTAGCGAGCGTCCAACGACAGCGGTGTACAGTGTGGGACAAACAGAGAGGGAGGGAGAGAGAGAAAGTAAAGATGAAATAATAACTATATTGGTACCACCGCCATGCGGACCATGACTGATAAGAACCGTTGATAAGCTCTGAACGGTGCCTTATCATCTCTCTCTCTCCCTCTCTCTCACTCTCCAATTTCTCCGCGCCCCTCCCACACACGTGTTGTGCTCCATTCGCAGCCTATTTCCAACGACACTCAGATCACTCGCGTGGAAACGCGGAGCGGAGCCGAACTGTCTCCCTCGCACTCCGAACGGCACGCCCCGCGAGTGCGAGAGAGACAGGGCGACGAAAGCGGCGTTCGCTCAGCCTGCAGCAGCGGGCTCGCCACGCGAAGAGCCCGCCCACGCCTCGTCCCAGTGCAGCGCGCAGCGCAACGGGGCCCGATTTTCAACGACTGCCCCACCCCCGAAAAATACATGAAACCACGAAAAACGCAGAAAGGCCGCGTTACGCATGCAGGCGGCACACCCCGCTCGGCGCGCCGGCCGTCTGGCGCGCGCTTCCTCCCCGACGACATGAGGGGCATAAGTGATAAGGCAGCCGGGCGGCGAGGCCCGTGGCCGCCACGGCCCCCCTGCGCCCCCCTGGCTCTGACCCGCGCATGGCCGGCGGCGACACGACGGTCTCCGGCCGGCCGGACGCACGGGGATCAGGAAGACCCCACCTGCACCACGGCCTACGCGGCCTGCACGCCGGCAGGGCCGGCAGCCAGCGCTCGATTAGATAAGCCGCACCGGGGCCGCACCGCACCGGCTGCACAAACACAACGCCGTCATTCAGAAGCTTCCCACCGCCCTCTGCCCCGGGCCGGCGTGGCGCGTGGTCGCGTCTGTCGCGTCGCGGCGCCGGCGGCGTGCTCGGGGGGCTCGGGGCAGGCCGGCAGTGCCGCCAGCACGACGCGTTGCTGGGCGCGCCGGTGGTACTTCCCTGCGAGCCTCCCCCGTGGTGGTCCTCCCGAACTCATGGCTGACCCTCGGCAACCCCTACTGCAGAGTACCGGAGAGTCCTTCTTCGTCGCCCTGTCTCCCTCGCACCCTGAGGGGGCGGGCCGCGAGTGCGAGAGAGACAGGGCGACGAAAGCGCCGCCCGCAGGCTAAGCCCGCCACGCTGCACTGCGCTGCATCGCGCTCTGGCTGAGAATGAGAACGGTGAACAGTGCAGTGGAGGCATCGACAATTATCATTCCCCTCCCCGCCTGCCGGCTGCCGGCCTCGGGGCCTAAGGGGCTGGGCCCGGCGCCGAGCTAGACGGAGGCGCCGCGCCAGAGCAGCCAGCCAGCAGCCAGCCAGGGCCAGGTGCCCCTCTAGGTGCCTGCGGCCGCATTAGCGCGAGCAGCGCAGAGCAGCGCAGAGCAACGGCACCAAAATGACAGAAAAACAACAAACAAACGTTTGCGCAATGGCAGCCGCATGGGACGCCCAAATGCCTCGGCGCCTGCCTGGGTGCCCTGGGTGCCTTTCCCTTTGCCATTGTTCTGGAAGCAAGCGCAGAGCGACATCACTTTCCTATCGACGGCCGCCACGCCTCCGGGACTGTGTGACTGTGTGACTGCACAGTGGCACGGCTAGACTAGGCCAGCCCCGCTGCCGTTCGGTTCGGCGAGTTAGCACGGCCGGCACGGCCAAGCTCGGCCGGGGTGACAGGGTTCAAGGCTGCGGCGGCAGAGTCCTGAGTCGCCAGGGAGCCCCAAGCAGTGCTCAGCTCCGCTCAGAGGGTGACTAACACCAAACAACGCCGGTTTTTCGCGCGCGGAGCGACCCCAACTTGAGAACGGGGTCAAAATGCGCCCGCTGCGTACTTTCCCCCACAAAAATAGAACAGGAGAGCTTGAAGCGAATCCCCACTGGCGTGGACTTGTGCTATCAGAGGCGGAATGGGCAAGCCGGCCGGGCAGGGCGGCCAACTGGCGGCCTTGCTATCGATGGGGTCAGTTCCGCCGATATCGAAGTACAGTTGGACACGCAAGCTGGTGCAAACTCAAACGGGGCGCGCCCTTACATTGTAGCATTCTCGTTTTATTTTTCCATCTTTTACTAGAGTCGAGCTGGCCGAGCTCGGTAGCGGGGCTCAGACCCCCTCCCAGACCCGCGGCACGAGCCGGCTGCGCCATGGCTGCGCGCTGCGCCGAGTGCACCGAGTGCACCAGTTGCACCCGTTGCCCGTTACCGGGGGCACACTGTGGGGCACTGCAACTGCATCGGGCCTACACTGCAGCCCACCGCCGCACCTGCAGTCCTGCACGGCAGCGCCCAGGCTGCAGCAGCAGCACTCCCGCGCCGCGGCCCTGCATATGCACAATGCGCTCCACCATGTCCATGTGGGTGTTTATTTTTAGTGGCCTGGCGCAGCGCGGCGCAGCGCAGCCACGGCAACCCCACGTCCACATCCACGTCCGCGCCCGCCTCGCAGGCTACAGGCTGCAGCAGATCCAGGCAGGAAGCAGCTGGGACGTGCGCTGTGCTGCAGCAGCGGCGGCGGTGGCGGCGGCAGCTGCCGGGGCCCACGGTGGCTTGGCTGGGCCGGCCGGCGGGGCCTAGAGGGGGACCGGGCACGCCGGGCAAGCCGAGGCAGCGCAGGGCCAGAAGCCAGAAGGCAAGGCCAGCACAGGGGCAGAACGCCCAACGTGGGCGGCTTGATCCCCGCAGAGCGAAGCAGTGCAACGCCCCGGCGCGCCCCGGCCCGGCCCGGCCCCGGCGAGCAGGCCAACAACATCCAACATGCAGGATCAAAAATCTCAACACTCTCCCTCGTTGACATCTGCCACAGCACATGCGGTGGATTCAGTCCCCTTGCGGCACAGTTCAATGGGAGATAACCACTCAAGAAGATAGACACTAGAGCAGCTTCATAGACTCACATTTCAACTAGAGTTTAAAATAACTGGACTCAACATTTACTGTCGATTTCAATTTTAAAAGCAATAATAATTTTTTGGGTAATCATATACAACGAGTCAATCATTATTCAACCCTCACTTCAGTCCACCAATACAACTCTTTTCAACACATAGAAGGTCCCCAGAAGAGTTAAGGCTTACCTAGTGTTAGACTTTTGGAGGCTTTCATAGACGACTTTCGTCTATGTTCGCCTAGGGCTGCAAACCAGTTTGATATCTTGAGGGCATCACCGGTAAAGGAACTGAAGGTGCTACTCTTGTGTAGAGCTTTGATATCCATGGTTGCACTTGTGTCTTTGATGCACAGTCACTGACTAATTCACTGTCATTTTCAAATAGATTGACTTTTGAGGATTTAAGACCTCTCGGTTGAAATTAATTGCCGGCTTGGAGCTTAAGGTCTGAAAGAGTGAAATTGAGGCTTCTGAACGAAAGGAAGGTGGTAAAAGCTACAAAACCAAACTTCATGTACTTGTCAACAAGGTAATATCAGGGTTTTGTTTGTGCTACAATGGCACATTAAATTAAATTTACAAAAAACAAAAACTGTACGACAGATTTAAATAAAAAATTGGGGTATTATAAATTTTAACTGGTAGTTAAAAGGGGCTTAAATATCAGAACTGGGAAAAAAGATTCTATCAGACAATAAATGAAGTACATGTGAAAGAGGTTAGGCGCCCGTAAAAAAAGGGCCTCAATTTTGTTGTTTGCAATATGATGCTAATAAACACACCCTACATACGAGAAAAGCCTTTGAACTTCACCTTCCAGACGACAAAGCGCCGTTTTCCACCGAATTTCACTCAAAATTGCGGCTGTTTAGGGGAGACGTCTTCTGCTGACGGCCAAGGGCTACCTTTCTTTTGTTTTCACACAACCCTGGCACTCGGCACAGAAAATGCGTCCACCGCCAGACAAAGGCGACTCGAGCCCAAATTTAAACGCGAGCACGGGAAGCACTCGATTGCACTCGGGGAATCAGGCTGGAGTCGTCGGCCGAGAGTCTAACATCGGCGGGGACTGAGGAATATTGCGAGGGTGAGCCTTCCACCGCACTCCACTGGGGACTGGCGAGGCGACTGACTGCCACAGGGGCTGGGTAGGCAGACCGCCCGCCACACCAGAAGGGAAGGGAAGGGGAGGGAAGGGGTGGGGGAACGGGACTCCGCGCTGCCAACCAAAACACCGCACACCCACCCCTTCATTCTTTCATGCATTGCTCCCCGGGGAAATGAATGAATGACTCCGAGATTCAAAGACTTGGCCCCCGTACCGCTGAATTGGATCGTTCTACTCTCGGTCTATGATATTTGGAACTCAGCGAACCAAAATAAAGAGAGCCCAAGCTCCACAGCTGGATTGGATAACTAAATCATCCAGTTAAAAAAAAATATTCAAAAATAAATTTAGTTTTTACCTCCGTGGCCAGTTTCTAGAATTTGAGAATGAGATGATGATAATTTTCTTCCAAACTCTGAGAAAGATGGTAGGACATGTACTCCTAAAAACACAAGATATTTTAATTACAAGTGGTGAACAGCTGGAAAAACGTGGAATGAAGGACGGAAACCAACCAAAAGTAGAAATAAAATATCTTACCATTTTCTTTGACTTCAGCACCATCTTCAATGGTAAGATGTTCAGCAAGCTCAGATAGCGATCCTTCAATACTGAATCGGAACGTTGGGACAAACGCCGACGAATGCGCTTTAAACTCATACTCGAAGAGTTTGGCACGGCGAATCAAGGGTCAGCAAACCTGAAGAGCAAAATAATAATGAATATCATCTGCTCAAAATGAATGAGTGAATACCCTTAATAAAGCAAGAATGAAAGAGAAAGAATCTTCAAAAAGTACAGTAAGCAGACAAAATTTTTGACTTAAGCATCTGTTGCAAGAATAAGAGGTACCAATGAAGAAGCTTGGCTCAACATAAAATGCAACCAGTCAAAGAAATGTCCTTCACGGGAACAATCCAATTTGGTCTGTCACTAATGCTCCATGGTATGTGTATTTTCAATTTTAATGAGATGAAATTCCATCAGGGTACAGGTGTCTGCATGCACTGTACGCTTATGAGGACACGCCTGGCCAAGTGAAAAATAACTACAAGAAGGTGGAGAACTAATGTCCCTGAGATGCCGGTGCCGAAATCCAATGCCCAATGCCACATTCATTACTAACCAAAGTTTTAACGACGGTTTGGTGCAAGTCTTCTTTCGATGGGAATCGGTGACGTCAAACAGTTAAATCGCAACATAAAGTGGAGCAGGGCTAAGGGGTGTAGGAAGAGGAGCGTTCGAAGACTTGAGGCCAAAGGGAGTCAGAACCAACACAAAAATAAAACGGAACAAAAGGATTACTTGTACACACTTTGTTTACCTGCCATTTTTCATTTTGGCAACATTAACGAGCGACAGTGCTGCGCTCTGGTGGTCATAATGTGCACTGCTCACCGCCTTCCTCGAGTTCACCTTCTCTTCCGACCGCAAGGCGGCGGTGCACGGAGCAGCGGCAATTTCAAATATCAAAATCCGACTGCTCTCTGTACATGTTCAATGAAAAGTCACAATTGTGTTGTGCGACGTGACTGAAGGCCTGTCAGATACGTAGAGGTTGCGTTTTCTTTGTGTGTCTCGGGGCTCTCTTAGTTCTCGCAAAAATGAAAATTAATACAATTTGTTTTATTTTGTTTTTTGTGTTCGTGTTCCACCAATAGGAGAACTTTGTTCAATTTCCTCCAGCCTCCACTAAAAAATGTGTTGTTTTGTTTGTTCATTTTTTTAGGATAATTAAAATTAAAGTTAAGCACTGGCAGGTGCATAAGAGGCGTGTAAACGGGTAAACTTGCAGACGACTGTTTGTCCGAATCTTGATTCAGTGCCGTTTGCCTTTCCCAGGGCCGGCCCGGCCGTGACCGTGTTTGTCTCGAGCACAGTGTGCTGACCTTGCCGTCAGGACTTGAGGACCGGCAGGTGCTCACGCCCATCGTCCTCCTGGTGGACGTGAGACGTGCGGGCAGGGCGGGCCGGGGCGTCCAAAGCCAGGGGCGGCGAGGCGGTTTGGCAACAACAACTTTCCACAAAGATTGCATGCTTCCCCCCATAAAGCGGGAAGAGGGAGGGGCCCAGAGGGGCCGATGTAGGTCGCCGTCCTGGAGGCCTGGGGCCCTGGGGTGCCCGGGGGGCCCTGAAGCCCGCAGGGGTTGGTGGAGCCGTTGTTCGATCGGGGCTGCGACGCCGCGACGCACCCCCGGGCCGCCCCGCGCCTTTCCGGAGGGGTGTGATGATGAGCAGAAGGCCGCCGTCATCCGTCCGGTCGCCGTCAGCGGGAACACGCGGGGCTCGCGTGCTGCCGGCGCTGCTCCCCTCCAAGCTGTACACCGCACTCCACCACACCGTGCAGGCCGCGCACGGCGGTAGGGCTGGTGCCATTGTCGCCGCCCTCGCCGCGCCACTGTTGTGGGGTGCGCGCACTGAGAGTGCTGGCCGCGCTGCGGCATGCGCTCCTTGACGGCTCGCTGACGCCGTGCTCGCGCGGGCAGCACCTCCGCACCGCCCCGGCGGCGTCCTCGTAGGCGCGCAGCGCTCGGCCAGCAGCATGGCGTCCACCGGGCAGCCGCCGGAATGGCCCTGGGCCCGCCGCAAGCGGTACATGCGGCCCTGCCTGGCCATGAACGGCACCACCGTGTACAACACCAGGTGCGTACCGTCTCGAAAGTAAACACCTTTGATTCACCCCCGACGCCTGTCACACCGCACTCTGCACACTCCTCTCCAGCTTCATGAACATCTGCGACGACGCGCGGCGCTGCGCGTACAAGCGGCCCGACCACGGCGACCTCATCAGCATGGGCGCCTCCAACGACGGCCTGTCGTGCTACGGCGCCAGCTACGAGCCCACCGAGGCCCACGTCAACATCCGCCGCCCCGACCCCAGCAAGCCCGAGGACAACCTGCGCACCGGGGTCGGCGACGTCTCCGGCGCCACCATCAACAAGGTCCTTGACTTGGCCGACCGCCAGCGGCGAAAAAACGAACCCGCCTTGACCGGGACTCGAACCCGTGCCCGCAGATGAGCTTCCCCGGCTGGCCCGGCGTGGCGCCGCCCATGTCCATCGCGCCGCCGCCCAGCATCCTGGCCATGCGCGGCCCCATGGCCAGGGTGACGACCACGCGCCACGACTACACCGCCAAGGGCGCCGAGAAGCCCCCCATCATCGTGCCCGAGGGCGAGATCAAGATCTCCTGCAAGCCGCTGGAAGGTGAGCCGTCCTCGTGAGGCCGTCACGGAGGTGAGGGTGAGGGCTCTAGGCAGGTGCAGGGGAAGTCCAGGAGCAACAGAGGACTCTCCCTTCCCTTTTGGCGGGAGCGTTGCGCGCTGGCGGCCGGCCGCCCGGCAGGTAGGCATCCAAGCCCGTGTCGAGACAGACGTGCGCACCGGGTGGCCTATCCCGACTTTCGCAGGCGGCTTTGGCTTGACGCGCCAGGTACGGTGGCATGACGAGTGTCTCGGCCAGGAGGCCGCCGTGGCGGGCTGGTTTTAGCGCCTCTTCCAGCTCTCGATTCCCGAGTCGATTCGTCGCTCCATCTCTGTCCCACTCATGGGGCGTGCCGCGAGTGCGCGAGAGGGATGAAGGAAGGCAAACACGTCGAGCAAATTCAGCGAATGACGGGGCGCGTCTGTGTGTCAGCCAACACCACGGCTCAGATGTCGTTCCAAGAGCCGGACTACTCCAAGTTCGCGCCGTCGCAGTCGTACCGCCCGCGCCAGGAGTACCACCCCCCGGAGGGCGCGGTGACGGGGGACACGGTGTGCCGCATGTCGTACAAGCCCGTGCCCCTGGCCCCCAAGGAGGACTACCCCTGGGCCGCCAAGAAGAAGTACGCGCCGCCTGACACGTCCATGGAGGGCCAGACGGTGTACAACCAGAGGTCAGTGCGGAGCAGGCTACTGGATTCGGAGTGGCGATCGCAGTGCTTGAGAGAAGTATTTGTCTCTAGCTTTATGAACATCTGTGACGACGCGCGGCGCTGCGCGTACAAGCGGCCCGACCACGGCGACCTCATCAGCATGGGCGCCTCCAACGACGGCCTGTCGTGCTACGGCGCCAGCTACGAGCCCACCGAGGCCCACGTCAACATCCGCCGCCCCGACCCCAGCAAGCCCGAGGACAACCTGCGCACCGGGGTCGGCGACGTCTCCGGCGCCACCATCAACAAGGTCCTTGACTTGGCCGACCGCCAGCGGCGAAAAAACGAACCCGCCTTGACCGGGACTCGAACCCGTGCCCGCAGATGAGCTTCCCCGGCTGGCCCGGCGTGGCGCCGCCCATGTCCATCGCGCCGCCGCCCAGCATCCTGGCCATGCGCGGCCCCATGGCCAGGGTGACGACCACGCGCCACGACTACACCGCCAAGGGCGCCGAGAAGCCCCCCATCATCGTGCCCGAGGGCGAGATCAAGATCTCCTGCAAGCCGCTGGAAGGTGAGGCTGAGGTCAGGGGGGCCGACGACGACGGCCCGCTCCCCGGCGGGCTTTACTGCCCTGTTGTTTTTGTTGTTGTTTGTGACGTGATTCGCACTCGAGAAATAAAGACATGCCGAGAAAAGAGCGTCTGCGTGTTTATTCGCCACTGTAAAACACCTCACCGAAGGCCGAGGGCGTGGCGCGGTGCCGGACGCCGGCCTTCCCTTCCTGTCTCTCCGCGGCACCAACGAAACGCTCTCTTTCCAGACAAAACGACGGCCGGCATGTCGTTCGTCGAACCGGACTTGTCGCGGTTCGAGCGCCAGAAGTCGTACGCGCCGGCCCGTCGCTACAACCCGTCGCAGGCGCCCTTCGACAGCACCACGGTGGCCCGGCTGTCCTTCACCGGCGAGCAGCCAGAGGGACCCCTCATCATCGCGTCCAGGAACCGGCCGCCCATGCCGCCCCTGTCCGAGGAGGAGCGCGCCAAGTAAGGGTCGCTGGTCGAGGGTTCGACTCCCCGCCCCTGCGTTCTATTCAAATGTTTTTTTTGTGTGTTTTTTTTCTGCAGGGTTTGTTCACCTGTGCCGTCGCCGCCATGCACGCCCAAGCCCACGTCACCCGGAGCGGCCATGCAGCCCTGGGCTCCAGCACCCGTCGTCTGTCCTCCGAGGAGGGAGTTCGAAATATGTGCGTCGGCAAATGCAGCTTCAATTCTGTGCCCTTAACATCTCTCATGTGCTTCGAGGGATTCAAATTTACTTTGCCATGGTTTCAGGTCGTCCGCAACAAGGAGCGGGGATCCAGGGAGTACCAAATGTCAAAGATTTCTACAGTAAATAAGAAGATTCGAAAAAAATTATTTCATTCGTGTATTTGTGTACAGTTGAAAATTATCCTCCTTTCTCACATTGAGCTCGATTCTGCGCAAAACGGGACACAATATTCCGAAGCCTGTTTCACAGGTAATTCCAAGGAAAATAAAGCACTTCCCTCAACTCAACAGCAGTTCTCCAATTTGAATTTCCCTCCGTTTTGCGTAGTTCTCAATTTCTCGCAGGTGGTTTGAAAATATATGAGAAATTGATGATGAAAGAAAAGGGCGCCATTTTGACGCAGCAGACTACATAAAAAGTTAACTGTTGTAAACACAAACAATCGCACAACTCCTACGGTTTTCATTGTCAGTTTTTAAAGAGATGCAGCATGGGGACAATAAGCTGGGACGAGTTCAAGGCTTTTGCACAAAGCTTCTTAACCGTTTCAGATGAAATAAACGATGGTTGGGCTTGGCAAGGTGATCAGGTATCAAAGTGACGGCACCTCTGGAGTGCAATGTGATTTATGTGAACCTCGAAGTTTTAAACAAATAAATTTGTTTGTGCGTGATTTTTTTTTTACCAGGACCAATTAGCTGGGGCCTTTATAGCAAAGAAAATAAAGCAGCTATTAAGGAAACAGAGATCTCTACCAGCGGAAGATGAAACCGATCCGTTCGAAGACACTTCTTGTCAAACTGAAGTACAGGTTTTGTTCCGAGGAGAAGAGGTGGTTTTGTAAGCTTCGGGGATTCTTATATTTTGCCGGGTTGCAGGACAATCATATAGCGGAGGAACTAAATGGATCCCAGCAAGAATGTACATGGGAGTACCACATTCTGTACAGTCCCAGCTATGCCACACCTGTTCTATTTTTCAATGTATTTACATCAGGTAAACCTTCTTTCACAGACAAGGGAGCATTTTTAAAAACTAGTAAGGTAACATTGCTTTGCTTCAATTTTTCAGATGGACATCTTGTGCCCTTAGAATCCTTGTGGAAAGGTGGAACACAGGGAGCACTTCAACATTTGCGCTGGGAAGCACTTTCACAACAGGTGGGTTTTCATTAATCCGCACAACTTCCATATTTTCAATAGTTTCTACTTCAAAATAAATTGTTTTGTCAGGAACACCCTGTTTTGAGGAGACCATACTATTACCTACATCCTTGCAAAACTGCTGAACTTTTAAACCTACACCAAGGTTCAAGGTATTATTTTATCCTGTACTTTGCAAGTACCGTATTACAAAATTAACATGATGATATTATCTACTCATTTTCAGCACCAATCCCATTGTTACTTGGCTCAGTAGCATGGGCCCAGCCATAGGACTGCACTTAGACATTGCCTATGGTCATTTGGTTCAAAATCAAAGGTGAAATGCAAGTATCTGCTGTATCCCTAATTTGGATGGCTGTGATTTTCTACTGGGTAGTTTTATGTGCAAGGACAACTGGAAGAATTAATTTTGACAAATTAAATTAAAATTATTTTATTCTTGCATTTGTTGAATTCAATGCAGCAAAAGAAACCACTCATACAAACTGAACATTTCACACGCACATCTCTCATACTCAGACACAAACACTCACATTATACTAAGAAACAGTTTCATGGACCAACAACTGAAAAGACTTTTTCCTATAATGGAAAACTAAGGTTTAAGGAAACTTGGGTAGATTGAAATGAAAGGGGGCATTAAGAGGAGGGCATGATTAATATGGTGGCCTTGGAGGTCCTGAAATGAGCAAACAAATCAATAATTAGAGACCAATTAAAGAGAAAAAAAAAATTCTTTGTTACAGTGTTTACAAATGCATACCTCCTCTGATCATACTGGGAGGCATTCCTCGCATTGGAGGGGCACCCATGGGAGGTGCACCACGTCCCATCATACCAGGATGCATACCTGAAAAATTTACATGATATTAATTTGAGCAATTCACAAGAACTGTCAAAATGACAAAAAGAGAATTGAAAACATACCCATCATGCCAGGGGGTGGGCCCATCATGCCAGGAGGTGGACCACCGACAGGCATTCTGGGGGGACCGGGTTGCTGCGGTCTCATCTGTGGAGGAGCTGACACTTGAGCACCACGCCCACCCGGAGCCATGACTTGTGCTGATGGACCACCAACACCGCGTACAGGGCCTTGAAGACCTGGAAAGACACAAGCAAATGTCACAATAGAGCACTTCAGTGATGGACAAAGATCTCAAAGTCAGGTATCAAATAATAAACACACCTGCGGGAATGCCGCCAGCACCTGGAGGTACGCCTCGTCCAGCAGCACGACCCATGCCAGGGCCTGGGGCAGCGCCAGGAACGGGAACTCGAGGGAGACCTTCTTCTGGGGGAGGGGGACCCTCAACTGTCATACAGACAATATTCTCTCCTCGGAGTAACACAAATCCTAAAACTCTCTTCTCTTCTCTTTCTGGCATCTTCTTCTTTGGCTTGATTTTCCTGAATTCTTCGCAGTCTCCCAAAATCAGGTTCATGTGCTTGTCAAATGCTGTAAAAACACAGTCAAATGAGCTGGTGTCGCAATAGCTATAGCACAACAAGCCTCAAGATTGAACATACCTTTAAAAGTGCCTATGAGAGTTCTCGAATCCTGTAGAATGATTCGGACCCTATAGTTGATATGCTGGAGCATCTTGTTATTCTTACTGATCGTCTGCAACAAACAACAGGCCATTCCGTCAGAGATGCAAACAGGGACTCAGGGTATAACCTAACTACAGGGAAAAGGGAGGGAGCTGAAAACAGTAGTATGAAAATAACAGATCCGTTCAATTTATAACTCCGCGATTGAACTAAACATACATAAAATTCGGACAATTTATCAGTTACATTAAATAGGACAGTAAATCCACATAGATAAAAATTCAAGAAAAAATGAAAATTGAAAACTAAGAGTAGCAAAGGAAAGTTTGACAAGACAGTGAATTTAACGCTACATCATTGAAAGATACACTGAAGCGGTATTATTACAAGTAATACCATTGCAAAAACACGGAAGACCAGCAAAAACCAAGTAAAAACTTGTCCAGGAACGCCGGTTAACCTAGTCTAATGGGGGCCCAGGCTTGGGCCGCTCCGCTAAATCACTCTCACGGGAATTAAATCAACAAATAAGCCAAATCTGATGGCTATTGTGGATAAAGTGAACATCAGCCGTTAAAAATAAATAGATTATTGTTTCCACTCACCATTTTGAAGGCCGATGTTAAACGATTAAAATCAAAGAATAATCTGAACGTTGATGAAACGACCGGCAAACAGCGACTGGACTATACTGTCGTAGTGCCGGTCTTGGCCGCTGCTCTGTTTACAGCGCTGTTGTCGCTAAAACCCTGACAAAACCCGAACGGAAAACGCTTAAAAGAAATATTCGTATCATTTTGCCACGGATCAATAACAATAAAATTTTCAGACGTATCAGTTTTTGTAACTTCTCAAAATTTAAAACAAGGTGATTCGGTTAATGCTCGGGCACAATTATTGAAAGAAGGGGAGTGCTACCTGAAGCAGTGTTGGCTACACTGTGTTGCGCTGGTCCCGCGACGCACGAAATGCCGCCCCCACCCTCTGCCCCTTGCAGCCACCGCTCCTGCGCTCCGTGCTCCGCCTCCGCCCCACCCCAACCCTTGTTGTTTCTCTTCGTGAGAAGAGTGCGAGACTTGTGTTTGATTTTTGAAGTTCTGTTGTGATTTCCGAGGTTTGTTTCACATCCAATTGAATGAATAATTGCACCTTGTAGTCTGCGTGTGAAATGTAGTGTCGTGCTGTGTAGAATGTTCCCTCAAGTCGCGTGTTGTGTGGGCGTAACTTTTGCCCCCCGTGGAGCCGATGTTCCATAACCTCCTGGCCGGTACATTTTGATTGCCCGCCGTTTATGTCGTTCGGCACGCTGAATTAACTGAATTAAAGAAACACGAGGCGAAGCATTAGCGCCTGTGCCACTTCAGCGTGAACACGACGGTCATGCAAGCTTGTCATTTTTCTTCGTCAGTTCGGCTGTAGGCTGATGGCCCTGTTGCTCTGTTTCAGTACGGCTTTTGTCCATTCCGCGCGTTCGTCCAGATTGACGTGCAACTACAGCAGGTTTGCGAAAATCCAGGTATGCCGAGTTTCAGAGTGCCTTCTCTCTTTTATTGTGGGCCTTCCGTTAGTGGCGTTCGATCGCGAAAACCACCTGTAAAACACACTCTTTGTTTGAGTGAGAGCAGGCGCCAGAGCGGAGCCTATCCGAGGTCCGTCCGTCTGCGAAGTCGTTGAAAACGCTTTGGCAGACGTTGTTATTGCTTGTCACAGGGCAGTGTGTAATATTTTGTCAACTTGCCGCATGGAAGTTTGTGCATAGTGATTTTTCCCGTGCGTGTGCGTCGGCTTCGTGTGTGAGACAAAGAGAAGAAGGGGGTGGGGGTGGGGGGTTTTCACGTTGAGACTTGTTTGGTCTACGATCGTCTCGGCGGCGGGGAAGGGGGCCGTCTTTAAAGCAGGTCAAGTTAATTCGACGGAGCGTACCAAGGACTTGAGATGTGCAGCAGGAAGGACTGGGAGAGGAGGAGGGGGAGGGGGGAGGAATTCCTGAGTGGGTGTCCGATTTCTCTGACGACACTGTTTCGCTTGCAGGGCATGACTCGCCATGGCCGATAAGGCCCCAGAGCTTCCTCGGCCGCGGCGCGGACCCAGGACGCCGCCGCTGCCGGCACCAGAGACGTCGTCGGACGATGACAGCAGCTCGGCGTCGCTGAGCCCTCCGCGGTTCTACTCGTCCTCGGACCGACATGGCGGCAGCCACACTCTAGCACCTCATATGGATCTGATGACTATTCAGGTCCGGGTCGCCGAGACTCCGACATGCGGCAGCCGCACTTTCGCCCCGGTCGGAGGACGCCGTGCGAGGACCGCGCGGACGCCCCGCCAGTGGCGTGCACTGCTCGGTGCTGCTCTCAACAGGGCGGCCCTCTGGAGCATGGAGGCCGTGCTCGGCCTGTCGGTGGCGGCTACCCTCCCGATGGCGCCTACCCCAACCACCCCAACGGCCAGCATGGTGCGCCGCCTGAAGCTCCCCGCTGCGCCACGCCCAGGACTCCGGCCGCAGCCCCTGACCGCCACGACGCTCCCAGCGGACCGCCGGCCAGCCTGCCCGGCGCGCCAGCTCCAAGAGTCACTCACGTGGTGACACACTGTCTGCCGGTACGCGACCACTCCATCTTGCAGGAGCACTCCCTGCCGGTGCAGGAGCACTTTCTTCCAGTGCGGGAGCGCCTCCTACCGGTGGAGGAGTACAACGATGGCAGCTACTGGGCCTTCTCTACGAGCCGGCGCCACGACGGCAGGGAGGCAGACGAGGGCGTCGCGCAGCACCCAGGCGCCGAGCATAGGAAACCACGCACGTTTTACTTCGACCGCGCGCGTTTCGGAGAGTTCTTCAGGTGTCCACCACCAGGGCCCGCGCCGTTCCCCCAGAGAGCGCACTCTGGAAAGCGGCACCGCGGCGGCCTGCACCACGGCCGCGCGCACCATGACTACCATGACGGACACCCTGGCGCAGTCTACCACGACGGCCAGCATCCTGGTGCAGACTACCACGGCGTTCCGCACCCTGACTACCACGACGGCTACCAGGGACCTGGCGGATGGTACCACGGCGCGGCGCAACCAGACCCATATTTCGCCTACCATGGACCTCAGCACCCTGGACATCATCTAGGGCCTCGTCACCCAGGACCGCAGCAAGGACCTCCCTTCTTCGTGCGCGCTCCCGGCCCTCCTGGCCCACCCGGCGCGCCCGGCACACACCGCCTTCCTCCGGGGCCGTACTGGGAGCTGCACTGGGGCGGTCCGCGCCCTCCACCCCCGCCCGGCCGGCACGGCCTTCATGGCCTGCACGGCCTGCCTGACCCGGACCGCCACAGCCCTGCTGTCCCAGACTACCTCGAGCAGCTGCGACCGCCGCCGCCCCCGCCAGCAGAGGGTGGCTACCCAGGCCATCCAGGTCATCCCGGCCTGTACGACTTGGAGCGCTACGGCCCCGCCGCCCCTGACCACCGAGAGTTACACCGACCTCCACGGCCTCCCCCACCACCGCCAGCAGAGGGTAGCTATCCTGGCCGTCTGCATGACGCGGGCCACCACGGCCCTGCTGTTTCTGACCACCAGGAGCAGTACCGACCGCCGCCGCCACTGCCAGCGGAGGGCGGCTACCCGGACCACCCCGGCCACCACTTGGAGCTTCACGGCCCCACCCCTGACTACCGGGAGCTACACCGACCTCCGCCGCCTCCGCCGCCGCGGTCAGCAGAGGGCCGACATCCTGGCCTGCCTGACGTGGAGCGGCCCGGCCCCGTTGTCCCCGAGCCTCGAGAGCAGCCGCCACCGCCACGTCCAGCGGAGGGCGGCCATCCAGGCCACCAAGCGCCTGGCTTGCCGCCAGGGGATGCACCTCGCCGAACGCTGCTCCCAACTCCCCGGCTGCCACCACAGGGATTGGAGCGTCCGCGGACAGCATCGCCTGGCCGCGAGCCAGCTCAGCCGCCGCCTGGTGGCCACCAACCCCCTCCTGCCGCTGAAGACCCTCAGCGCGAAGAGCGCCGGGAGTCCCCTGCAGTGTGCGTGCCCAGCGTGCCGCGACCCCCTTCGCCCGCTCAAGACTGCGCTCCAGAGTGCGCTCAAAATACCGCTCAAGATTGCGCCCAAGACAGCGCTCAAGATTGCGCCCAAGACAGTGCTCAAGATTGCGCCCAAGACAGCGCTCCAGATTGCGCCCAAGACAGCGCTCCAGATTGCGCTCCAGATTGCGCTCAACATTACGACCAATATTGCGCTCAAGACAACGCACTGCTCGCGCCCCGTCTTGACGCTGCTCCGCACTTGTCTCCGGCCGCTGAAGTTCCGGCGCTGCCACCACGTGAGACCCCCCCGGAACTGTCACCGCATTTCGTGAAACTGGATCCGATCTACACTTCGGGGTCGCCCCCACCATTTGCTGCAGGACCCGCGACGCCGCCGCCTTCTCCGCGGCCCGACACGCCTCCTTCGCACCTACCGCAGCGCCAGCGCGGAGCACCTGACCACGGCCATGGCCCTCGTTACTACGACCATGACGCGCCCCATCATGACTACGGCGCACCCCTGCAGCAGGCTCCGCCTCCGCCTCCTCAGCCTGGCTCACCACAGCGTCAAGAAGGACCGCAGCATGGCCCGCCGCAGCCTCAGCATCACCACGCTGCGCCAGCTCCGCCCCAGCCTCACCATGGCGACCCTCAGCATCGCCACGGCCCACCGCCGTCAAAGTCTCGCCGCCGACTGAAGCACCCCGAACCCCCGCTTCCCCACCCTGTCTCCTACGGTGGCGTGGACTTCACAGCGGACGACTTCGAGTGCTTCGGTGACTTCGGAGACCACCCCCGCATCCGGCGGCCCTACGCGGACGCGCCCCTGCGCGACCCCAACCACAACGTGACGCGGAAGGTGGGGCCCAAGTACCGCGCGCTGGCGGCCCTGGCGCAGTGGCCCTCCAAGCCGAACCACCACCACCGCCAGCCGGAGCCCTGCGACTTCAGCGCGGAGGTGGAGCTGCCCAAGCAAGAAGCTGGATTCGCCTACGGAACGTCCGCTGCCCTCGCTGACGTCAGAGTTATCTTGTCGCGCAAACCGCTGGCCGACGAGGACCTGCGAGAAGAGCACCGAGAGAAAGAGCAGGCCGACGACGAGGACCTGCGGGCCACGCTGCAGCGCAGGCACGCCGACGACTGGGCACGCGACCAGAACGCGGACCTGCGGGAGTCTCTGTCCAGGAAGGACCCCGACCTGCGGGAGAGTCTGTCCAGGAAGGACCCCGACCTGCGGGAGAGTCTGTCCAGGAAGGACGCGGACCTGCGGAAGAGTCTGTCCAGGAAGGACGCGGACCTGCGGGAGTCCTTGTCCAGGAAGGACGCGGACCTGCGCGAGTCCTTGTCCAGGAAGGAGGCGGACCTGCGGGAGTCCTTGCCAAGGAAGGACGCGGACTTGCGAGTGTGTCTGTCCAGCAAGAACGGAGACCTGCGCGAGTCCCTGTCCAGGAAGAAGGTGGAGGACGTCGATTTGAGGGTCACCTTGTTCCCCAGGATGCATCGTGGGGACGACTTGAAGCAGCAGGAAGACCTTCGAAGTCAGCTGCAGCGGAAAAGGTCCCCCAATAAACTGAGTGGGGAAGTCCCGGCCGCGTGGCCGCCCGTCTGGCCACCTGAGCAGGAGCAGGACCTGCGCGGGGAGCTGGACCGACGCCGAGACACCTCCTCGGAGCAGGACCGGCAGTGCCAGCTGTCCGAGCCGTCTTCCAACGAGGACGATACTGCGTTCGCGAGCAACACTGTGACCCCCACCAAACCCCACGGCCACGCTGGGCCCTCGGAACACGTTGCTTCTGCCCTCAAGGATTGCCTTGATGATTACGATGCAATGGTGTCCCCTCAATGCCAGACCTCCTCAGATGACCAAGTGGCAGTCGAACCAAGCCTTTTGCCTCTCCCTTCTGTCAACTTGGACTTTTTTCCAAATCGGAAAAGAGCAAGAGATTTCTTCTCAAACGGGGAAATTGAGAGTCAGCTCGGTTATGTGTATGGGTTTGATGATAATGGCAGTGATCTCAACAGCTCTTCTCACCTAGTTAATGTAGTAGAGCAATTGCTGTCGTCTATTAGAACTGAGCTTGAAGCGTCGCATTCATCGGACAAGTCAAGTGAAATAGTGCATCTTAGTTCTAGTACAAACGATGTGGAAAAGAAAGCTGTGTCTCCCATCAAACAACGATTGAGAAAAACAAATCCCATGTTAAATGTATCTAACAAAGTAAAGAAGACTGCAACAAAGAGGCCAGGTAGGAAGAAAAAAATTACTAGCCTGTTAGTACTTGCTCAAGCAGAAAGTGACAGTGGTGCTTCCTTGGTTAACGTCAATATCAAGAAAAAGGTGAAAACTGAAGTCAAAGAAGAGAGAATTTTTACTGATGATGACATACCACTAAGTCAAAGATTGAGGTCCAGGAGAATCAAGAAAGAACCTCAGTGAGATTTGTTTTTGAACTGCAGCGCAGCGCAGCGCGCCTCCTCACTATCATTTTCCCTTTTTTTAACGATATCTTTTAATTACAGCCGTTTTTGTAACTGTTATCATCTTTACAATAATGTCACTCTTTTATTTTAGTTTCTTTTGATTTAGTTATCATTTTTAGTGAGAATCAATCTGTGCAAAGTTGCACGAATAAAGTATCTCCATGTGGATTTCCTTGTTTAATTATGTTAAGAATTATTTTCTTAAAATAAAAGGTATCTGTGACCAATTATTTGTACATTGATGAATAATCAAGAATAAATAAGTATTAATTCATTCATAACTATTACCAACTTTTGATTTTCTTGTCCTCCCTCCCTTTCCACATTTACCGCTGCAGAACACCAGAACTATTAGCGAAGAAATGCTGAATCTTTGAGAGAAAAGCCCTGCTGCACTTGTCAAAGTTTGCCGCCTGAGCGCTGAGCCTTCTTTTGTTTTGGAGCTGCGTTTGAATAAGAGCCTTCCTAACCTCCCGCACGCAACCTTGCACTGTTTTCGCTGCTTGCTGCTTTGGAGCCTTGACATGAAGATTCCGGCTCTGCCGTTCAGAGGCTGATTTGTTTCATTTTGGCAATGCGATTCGTTTGTACGGCAGTGTGCTAGTGTCCAGCCCTAGAGAAATCTTGCAATTGGAAATTGAATCAACATTACATGTTGACACATTTGATTTGATGACGCTGCCTCAAATGCAACCAATGGCTTATCAGGTAAATAAATATTTCCCACGCCTAATTTCTACTGTTATTACTACCTTGTTAATTACTTCGGTTCGCCTTTGTTTTGATTTTGTTTCATTTAAATTTGATGGCTTGTGGGTTCATCGATTAAATGCCTGAACTTGTAAATCCTAACCTCCACTTAGCCGGGCTTTGTGTCTGCTTAATCGATGTTGTCGCCTCTATCATTGATTTCCGAGGATGAACTCATTTAGATTGTGTTTTATCATTTCCTCTTCATTTTCCTCAGGGAGGAGTTGAACCCATGCAGGTGGACGCACCTCCAGAAGACAATGACAATTCCAACGAAGAGGAATTTTACATTGTCAGAAACCCCACTTTGGTTTGTTACTTTTTACTACCAATAATTTTTTAATCTTTCACCTTTAAGCTTCATAATCAAGTTTAATCAATCCAATTATTTGTGTTTTTCTCTAGGATCTGGAAACTTATGCAAATAGTTACAAAAGTTTAGCTAGGCTACATCGTTTGATGTTTATTGCGACTCATTGCCCTTCCATGAGAGTAGAAGCCCTCAAGATGGCCATTCAGTATGTCATGGGCACGTACAATGTCACCCTGTATCAGCAATTACATAAGAAACTTCAGGAATCAATTGGGTATGTACCTAAATATAGATTTGTGACATTGTCAAGATTGTTCAATTTCAACTGTGTATTCTCACTTTATTGTATGTTATCGACCGTTTTGCAGCTCAAATGCTACCACAAACCTGCCTGATGTGGCTGGAGGGGGTGCTCAATCAACATCACAAGACATTCCTGCTTTTGACATTCATTGGGTGGAGTCCAAATCTAAAAAAGCTGCATTAAAATTGGAGAAGTTGGATACTGACCTTAAAAATTACAAAAGTAATTCCATCAAAGAAAGCATACGGAGAGGTCATGATGATTTAGGTGATCACTATTTGGACTGTGGTGATCTGTCTAATGCTTTGAAATGCTATTCTCGAGCTCGTGACTACTGTACCTCAGGCAAACACGTTGTCAATATGTGCTTGAATGTTATTAAGGTGAAAATTTGCTCTATCTTTCTGTGGTTTCTTGCCTGTGTTGGATTTCTGTTTTGTAATGTGTGTTTTGTACCTTCATGTTGTAGGTCAGTGTCTATCTGAAGAACTGGTCTCATGTTCTTAGTTTCATCAACAAAGCAGAGGCAACCCCTGATTTCTCAGAGGTTAGTGTAAAGTTATTATTATGTCTAGAATTGCTTTGAGTGATTTTTCCATTTTCTGTAACCTATTTGATTTTGTGTTCACAATCTAGGTTCATGGTAAAGACAGTAGCAATCAAACAATAATGACACGACTGAAGTGTGCTGCTGGACTAGCACACCTTGCCACCAAGATGTACAAAGCGGCAGCCAAGCAATTCTTGCAAGCAAACCTTGATCACTGTGATTTTCCTGAACTCTTATCTCCCAATAATGTAGCTATGTATGGAGGGCTCTGTGCTCTTGCTACATATGATCGAAATGAACTTAAGAAAAATGTTATCTTCAGCAGGTAAAGAAATGAGATTTCCATTTTAAGATAAAAGCAAATTATCAATTGGATATCAATTGTTATAAGTGTTGTCCTCTTTCTCTCTAGTTCATTTAAGCTGTTCCTGGAGTTAGAGCCCCAGTTGCGTGACATCATTTTCAAATTCTATGAATCCAAATATGCCTCATGTCTTAAACTTCTAGATGAAATCAAGGTATGGAATTTTTGCAATTGCTGATAAAGATTTATTTACAAGTCCTAAGAAAATTACAAAGTTTCTTTTACTTTTGATTCCCAGGAGAATCTTTTGCTGGACATGTATATAGCTCCTCATGTCAACACACTGTACTCTCAAATTCGTAATAGAGCATTAATCCAATATTTTAGGTAAGGCTCAGTTCTCTTTTTTACCATTTTAAAAATTCATTATTTTTGAATTTGGAATAAACATTCTTTCCTTTCAGCCCGTATCTTTCAGCTGATATGCGTAAGATGGCAAGTGCATTAAATACATCTGTACATGCTTTAGAAGATGAATTGATGCAACTTATTTTGGATGGACAAATTCAAGCTAGGATTGATTCCCACAATAAGGTTGGTACACATTTTATGACTTGCTTACTATTAGATCTCTTTTAATGTCACTTGAATTTCTACTGCAACTTTTTCTTGTATCTTTGTCTAGATTTTGTATGCCAAGGATGCAGATCAAAGAAGCACTACTTTTGAGAGGTCAATCATGATGGGCCAGGAATATCAACGCCGCACAAGAATGCTCATCCTTCGTTCAGCAATGCTAAAGAATCACATTCATGTTAAGGTGAATTGAAGTTATACTTTTTGTTGTGCCTGCTTTACCACCCAATAGATCAGAAGTAAATGTGCTGAAGTGCTATTTCAATGTGTTGCTGCTGTTTGAGCCCAGTGTCGTGCAGTCATTCTATGAATGAAGAAAAAAATAAATAAAATATGCTGTCAATGGTGTGTGTTTCAGAGTACTTCAGGCCGTGACAATGGCCAGGCTGGAGATGCCGTTCAAAGTGGTAATTTCTGGCATTCTTTTACCTTATATTTATGTTGTTACATTTAAAGGCACTGGTAGTTTTCATACATCACTTCTGTAGTTGCTAGAATTCCACAAGAAATTGAAGTCGCACTTGGCTAGGCCATTTCAGTGAACAATGAATCTGTTTCCTTCTTCCCACAAAGTTGGCTATTTTGCAACTGCTTGAAGGTTTTGGTTTTCTGCGATTTTTACGGGTGTTTTTGTTGATGTTGCAGAGCCTACAACGGGACAGCGGACAGGGCGAGGAGACCTCAGTAACTCCGGGGAACAGCAGTAGTGGTGGGGTCGATGTTGTTTGATTAATCATTTGCAGAGCTAAGTAGATTGGTGTTTCATTCGTTTTGTTTATTTATACTCAAGCTGTCCAATCTAAGTGACACACTCCTCCCATCCTTGCCTGTGTTTTTTTCTTTCTTTATTATTGTGATTTTGTTGTGTTCTCCTATTCTGAAAGGCTTTGAGAGTGGTCACATATACATAATAATAAAAGTGCTGAGTCTTTTCCTTGTTCAATGTACATACTATAGTTCTTGATGTAATTTTAATTGTATCACAATTTAAATGTTGACATAGTTGTTATGCTTTGTATTTCGTCAAATTATTTACTCATGGTGGAGATCTGAACAATTTCCCGAAAGAAGTAATGTTGGATGTGACACCGTACCGAATTAATATTCAATTAATAAAATCTCCTCTTAAAAGGACTTTGTGAGACTTGGCTTGTGTTATTAAGTATCCCCGAAAATATCCCTGAGATCATAGTACACTGGCTTTTGAGAAAAGTGAAGAAATGCTGGGATTCGAACGCTGGTCCTTAGGGTGGGAAGGCAAGTTGAGCGGTGCGCGGTGCGACGCGGCGTGTTTACGCCCCTGCTCCGCCCACCCCACCGCACCCCGCCCCTCCACCTCCGCGCCCGCCCCACCGGAGGCCCACCACGCCGCAGCGCCCCGGCGGCCGCGCCGCCGCGCCGCCTCAGTCAGTCAGTCTCCTTGGCTCTGCGGCGCGGGTGTGCCCGTTGCCGTGCTCGCGTCCTGTCCGCGGTGCGCCCCGCGGCGTAGCGTCGCGTCGTCTTGTAGTTCGCGAACCTCCTCAGCTCCGCGGTGGTCGCGCCGTGCGCTTCGCATCGACAGTGCCGGTCTCGGTTCCCCGAAGACAAGACACCCTTCTGCAGTGCTGCAAGTCGTCCCGGGGAAGGCCAGCGAATGGCCCGACTTTGAGCGGGGCCTGCCGACTGCCGGACTCCCAGACTTCCGTACTCCCGGACTCGACTCTCACCGACAAGCCAACGAACAGCGCCAACCATGGGCAAGAGCGGCAGCAAGCTCAAGCCCAAGAACAGGAGCCAAAGTGAGTCGCTCCTCTTCGCTTTCCGCGCGCCATCTCTCTCTCTCTCGCACCTATGCGGGACGCCCGGCGAAGGCGCCAGTGTCCACTGTACTACCTGCATCGCGCGATGGCAATGGCGAGGAGATATGGCGAAATCAGGGCTCTCGCCGGACTAGTACGCTTTGCATGGCAGTGCCTACCGAAGTGGCACACGATATCATTGGTGGTCCAGCCTCTCGAGTTTTCAAGTGCCGAGTCGTCGGATGGGCTGCCTACCTCCCCGGCGCCTCCGGGACCCTCTCTCGGATTACAACCCCGGTCCCTTCTCGACTTGGCGACGCCCCGAAATAATTTCCCCGCCCCGCTGGAGTCGCTGGAGCTGGAGCTGTGCGGTGCGGTGCCTCTGGCCTCTCATAAGCCCACCGTGCGGTACAGTACGCCTCCCGGACCCTCCGGCGTCGCCCTCGGTCTGTCTCTCTCGCACCGGCATGGAGCCCCATGAGTGCGAGAGAGACAGACCGCTGCGGTGCGCCGCGGCTCGCCGGCCCGGCCCCGGCTTTTTCCCGGGTGATATTTCAGCTAGATTGGCCGTCGTCGGCCGATTCCGGGGGACCGTCGTCCTCCGGGGGCTCTGCACGCTCTGCTCGCTCTGCAGGCCGATGCCGAAGGGCGCCCCGTCGCGCTGTCTCTCTCGCTCTCAGGCGGCGTGCCGTAGGGCGTAGGGGTGCGAGAGAGACAGCGCGACGAAAGCCTTGTTCGGGCGGGGCGGGACTCCGGTTCGGACTTAACCGCAGCGGGCCTGCAGGGGCTCACAAGGGCCCCGCACTGGCTTAGGGCGGCGCGGCGCGGGGCGGGGAGAGGTGTTGAGGAACTTGGCCAAGTTGGCGACGGCTGCGTCGCGCGCCGCTTTACAGCCGCGTCGCCTTCCCCGTGTCGACGGCGTGCTCCAGCCAGCCGCGTGCCGCCGCATAGGGGGGCCTCATCATCACCCCGGCCCGGCCCACCCCCGGGCCGCCCCCGGCGACGCAATATTCCCGAGGAAAAAATAAATTTGGAGCCGCCGCGCCGCGCGGCACACCGTAACACGACCCCAGTCAGTCAACGCGAACGTGCCACGCCCGGGGCTCATGTAAATCACGCTACCCACTTCGATACGTGGAGCGGCTAACTGGACAAACACACACGCACGCACACACATGCACAGGACTGCAGTCGATAGCGTGAGCGTTACCGCCAGCGCGAGTATTTTATTCTGTCAGGTGCGGTACACTGTCGTATTAGGAACTTATTGCAAGACGAAATTTTGTCGTCTTCCCGACAGGCATGCCTGTTTGCGGAGGCGCCGCGGACTGTCCTCGCGTCCCAAGTAGGCGGTGATTATCTCTGGTTATCGCACCGGCACTGCTTGATGAAGTCTCTGCTCGGTCTCTGGCGGTCCTTTTCCTTTGGCCCCTGATGAGCAACAGACTGGCTGTGCCCGGTTTGCGCTCGCACTTGCTGCCGCCAGCCGTCGCTCTGTCTCTCTCGCACCGCGACGGCACGCCCCACGAGTGCGAGAGAGACAAGAAATGAGTCTCCAGCAGGCAGGCTGGCGAGCTTCTTTGATGCTTTCACTGCTTCCTTCCTTCCTCCCTCGGGGAGTCACCGCCGGCGCGGCACGGCAAGGGGATGTTTTCGGCGGACGGAGGTGGGCGTGGAGGGGAGAGAGAAACATGGCCCGCGCCTGGCCGTTGACAGCGGAGCGAGAGAGAGGGGTGCAGCGGTGGGCGCCACGGACCGGCGGGCCGCTACGCCCCGTGGGGAGGACCTGAGGGACGCCGTGCTGGAGCTGGAGCGACTGGAGCGCGGGGGGTGTACGCACTGCCAGGCACTGCCACCACCACGTCGACACGCAGCCTCGCATACACTCGCAAACGAGATCAAAAGCAGAGGGCGTCCGCTCCACCGCCAAGAGGGCCGGGCGGGCCGGGCGGGCCGCAGGGTTGATGTCGCCGCTTTTGCCCTCGGAAGAGCGAAGGGCGAAGGAAAGTGAAAAAAAAGGGAGGGACCGGGCGGGAAAGACAATTGTCCTCTAAAAACTCCTCACTTTGCCACTGACGTTGACGCGACCATGCATTGGACACTGAATGGCTCCAGTCGTTTGGCGAACGGAGCAATCGCCGAGAACAACAAACGCGTCCTCTTTTTGGCATCTCGATCCGAAAGCTTTTATCGCCCGAAATGAAATGGTGGCGCTATTCATGCAGTGGCCACTCCAATCAATGAGAGGGAAGGGGCTGCGAATTGGCGTCCAGATGCTGCCCGCGGGCTGCCGTCGCTCCGTCTCTCTCGCACTGCTGGGTCCGGCTGGGTCGCCCCGCAGCGGTGCGAGAGAGACAGCGCCGCTCGGAGTCTTAGCCAGCCGCCATGCAGCCGGCGCCGCGCCTCGGGGCGCCATTGGCTAGAGAGGAAGAGAGAGACGGAGAGACAATGTCGAGCCGTGTAGCAAGGCCCTTTGTACACTGCTCCAAATCTTTTGTTTTTCCTCTCTCTTATTTTAATTGGCGTCGCTGAGCAGCAAGGGGTCCCCTCAGTGTATCTCCCAGCGCCGTGGCGACCACGTGACCAGCTTCCAGGCGGTGCAGGCGGTGCAGGTGTTCGAACGTCACAGCGGCGCCGATACACTGAACAGTGCTTTCGTCTCTCTCGCTCGCTTGGGGCGCCCCGCCCCGCGTGGCTGAGACAAAGATAGACAGATCGGCGAAAAGCACATAACTGCAGAGCGCGGCGCCGAGTCGCGCCGTTGTGTCGTTTTGCGGACGTGTCCACCACGTCGGCCGTCGTCGTCGGCCTTTGGTGCGCCGTCATCAGGGCACGGCGATGGCGGCTGGCGGTTGGCGGCCGCGAGCCCCGAGGCACGGCGAAGGCGAAGGCAAGGCGGCCCGTGCCCAAGTCGGAGTGCACCGCGGAGCAGCGCGAATCTGTCGGCTCAGCTCGCGCAGCGGGCAGTGTCGAGGCACGGGGCGAGGCTGCTGGTCTTCAGAGTGCAGTAGCAGTCAAAAAATCTGAAAAAAAAATTTTAAAAAAATTTAAAAATTTTTTTAAAAAAAAAAAAAAAAAAAAATTTAAAAAAAAATAATTATGCGGGGATTCGAACTCTAGACTTTTGCAGCCGCAGTAAGAAGAGCACAGCCGCCACACTGCTGCAGTGGGTTCCATTCTCCATTTGCCCATGCGAATCCATTTCGCGCCGCCCAGTGCAGCAGTGTCCGAAGCGGACCACAGTGCGGTTATAAATTATTTGCATTCTCGTTCGAGCGTGTGTGCGTGTGTGCCGGGCGGCAGGATTTGTCGAACAGTTGACGCGTTGAACGCAGTGATCCAGGCCGCAGAATGCATGCATAACAACAAGCCTGCCGGGGGGGGGGGGGCACTCGCTGGCTCAGGCCGTTCGACAAGGGCCGCTAAAATGTCATTCTTTGTGTGTGGCGCGGAAAGAAATTGCGTCTCAACCGGGGGAAAGGTGTTCTTTTTCTTTAAAATTTAATTAAAAATCAGTGCGTGCGTTTGGAGGGGGAAAGGGCATTATTGACAGTTCGGTCGGCTGACAAGCGCAGACAAGCGTGGCGGCCCCAACGCGCCACCCCGCAGACCGATTCCGCACAGTCGCTCTGTCTCTCTCGCACCCCTGCGGCACGGCCGGCACGGCCCACGAGTGCGAGAGAGACAGAAAGCGGTGTGGGCGCAGCGGCGCGGCGAATCAGCGCGGCCCAGACCGAAGCGGCCTCCCCTTCGGCTGGTGAATAATTCCGCTGCGAATAGTGAGCCTGCGTGTGAATAATGCGGCCGGGCCACTGTAGGACTGTCGCCAGCACGCAGCTGCATCCGTGCAATCGGCCGACATTGTGGCGAATCGTTCTCGAAATTCGGCGGTCGGAATGCACTGCCCTGCCCGGCGCTCTGCTTGCTGTTGACCAGGTGCGCGCAAAGTGTTCGACGCGGCGTGGGCGGCGCGGTGCTGCTGATAACACTGCAGTGAGTGCTCTTTGTGGGTTATCGTGGCGCTCACCAACACGCTCACACAAACATTCACACTCACGCGAGCCAAAGTTTTTATTTCTTTCCCCCTCGAAGTTTCGGTCACGACCACCGTGGAAGTGAGTTAGGCCCTGCCTGCCGCCCTTGCGGGGTTCCGTTCCGTTCCGTTCGGAGAGGTGTGTGTTCGTGCAGCATGTAGCACGACGTCGACGATGGCGACTACGAACGTCTCGCGCGGCGTTTGACTGAGACGTGACTGGCAGGGAATGCAGCACGCAACGACAACAAAAACAACAACAACACTAACACGGCGTGTGTTGCACCGCGGCGGACTACCGCGGCGCCGCCACCGCCACGCCGACCGCCGGGGCCTAACTATCGTGGCGAGCTGCGTGTGTGTGAGTGTATCCGTGTCTGTGTGTGTGAGTGTGTGTGTGCTCGCGGCAGTGCTGACGATTCGAGATTCCGCGCCGGCCGACCTCCAAAGCGTTTTTCGCGTCATTCTGGAGGATATACCGCGGCCGCGGCGGGGGAGGGGAGGGGGAAGGCTTTCCATGCGGCGACGTTTTGGCCCGCGGCTGAATGGCGAGTGTGTGTGTGTGTGTGTGTGAGTGTGAATGCGGTCGCGCCCAGGATGTGAATGGGCGAATGGCGAAGAAGACTCGCGGGCTTGCTGGTCGCGCTGGCCGCCATGTGCCCTAGGGCCCTCTAGCGTCGCCGCTTCCGTCTCCAGGAGCTTCTTCAGCCCGGACCGCTTTGTGGCGTTCCCTTCGGCCCCCCTCCTTCGCTGTCTGTCTCTCTCGCCGCCGTCCGCGAGTGCGAGGGTGCGAGCGAGACGGAGCTACGGGCTCGTCGGCACGCAAACGCGCTAGCGCTAGCGCCGGGCTGATCCGGTCCAAGGATTTAACTAACCGCCGCCCAGGTGGCCGCCGACTCGAAGCGAACCAGCCAGCCGGCCCAGCGGACTGAGCGCCGTCTCTCTCGCACTCATGGCGCGTCCCGTT